TTCCGGGAGGACTTCCGGGAGGAGGGATTTGCACTGAAAAGCGGTGAAGCGGTCAGTGCTTTACATTTGTATGTATATAATTATATATACATATAGTGAGTTTTCCCATTAAAAATTGTGATTTTCCATAGTTCTATTAGTTTACCAGAGGGTAACTGGATATGGATAACTGGATACCATACCTGGTTGGTGGTTTGGAACATGAATTTTATTTTCCCCAATAGTTGGGATTATGATCCAATCTGACTTTCATATTTTTCAGATGGGTTGAAACCACCAACCAGTATGATATATACAGTGTATATATATATATATACCCTCTGGCTATTTAACATAGCCATGGAAAATGGCCCATTTATAATTTATACATGATTTTCCCAGCTATAAACCTCCATTTACTTAGGGGATTTTCCAGTTCGCTATGTTAGTCATAACCAGATGGTAACCTATGAAACCAACAGAATTCAACATGATTCAACCAACTTCATTGGGTTTCAAGGGGATATGGGATAAGATAGGATAATATCACCCTTGGATTTGCCGAGGATATGTGATTTGCCGCTTGATGCACCATCTGTGGAAGATTTTGGTGTTTTGTTGTTTGACATCTACAGCAAATCCGTTTGCAAAAGACAGTTGAAAAAGGGGTCACAACTAGATTTGTCCCACGTGTAAGGCAGAAGTGACACGGACTTTGATACATTCAACAATACATACCCTACTTACAAGTCAAAAACTGAAGTCTCCAGCTTCTAATTCAAAGAGCAAATCCGTTTGTTTCATGATTGCCCTTCCCCCTCAACCAGAGAATCCCCCTGGTTTCAGTTTCTTTAGATGTTCAATCCACCATATAATTTATAAAGCTGATTTTCCCAGCTATAAACCTCCATTTATTGGGGGGTTTTCAAGTGCCATGTTTGATTACCAGAGGCAGCATGACTTGCCAGGGGGCTTCGTGTCGCACGTTCCCGCACAGATTGTGGTGAGGCCCAGGGGAAGGAAAACACACAGATTTTACCAACAAAAGATAGGGATTTAACATTATTTAACATGATTTAACAATTTCAAAAGATTCGAAATAGTGATTTAACTCACAAAATTAGGATTTAATGTGATTTATTCTTTTCAGAAAATTTTCGGATTTCCATCATATTACGGTATATTGACATGATTTTGTTGATGGATTTTGGGATCCGATTACCGTGTGAAACACCAACAAAATTGTGGCTGAAATTTGTTGGGAAGTTGCCGGATCCGGAAATTTGTGTGCATTTCTGTAAGGTAAGTTGCTAGATGCGATATACGATTGATATAATTTGTATGTTGACAGATTGGGCTTCGCCATGTTTTGGATGTGTATGATCTTTCCTTCAGGGCTTGAAATGAGGACATGAATAGTGAAAACATGGTGTTAGAAGCAAAAGAAAAGACTTCGCCAACAAGAACAGTGAGGACTTGGGGGTCTTCATTTCAGTCTGAAATGTGGAGGGAAACTCCTGGACTTTGATCTCTTCACCCAGGGAAAACATGCTCAACTTTGCTGAGACGAAGGGATTATTATGGATTATTAATTGTTTGCTGATGTTGAAGAAAGACCTGGTTGATTCATTGATCTGATTGATCTGATTGATCTGATTGGTAAATGGCATACAATCCAGTAACAAGGGAATTTTGCTGACAAGAATGGTGGTATAGTAGGGATATAATGGGAATATATATATATATATGAATATACCCTCTAGTCATTTTTTATTTCATAATTATGGAAACTAACCATGTCAATCATCACACTAAATCAGACATTTTACAGGTGCCAGAGGGTGCCATGGCCGGCCCCTGATATGGCCGATTGATGATGGGCCAGGCGATTCAGATGGTGGATTGTGATGAGTATTTGGTCGTGGTCACTGGAGAATTCCGGTCGGGACCTCGAGAGCCAAAATTCCCCGCAACGGGGTCTGGGTGGATGCAAAAATTCCGAAAGGTTAGGGCACAGATGTCGCAAAAGAATGGGAACGCCTTGGAGGAGATTCAATATCTATATATATATATATATTATTACCTAAGTTGGAAGGAAGCGCAAACAGAATTGAAAACATGGGCTAAGTATCTTTGGTAATGTCTAGACCCAGAAGGATTTATGAACATACTCAAAAAATATGAAGTCTTATATTCTGCAAAACAACCACATTGGTAGAGTACCTCTGGTTTTCTCAACATTTTTACAACACAACCGCATAGAGAGAATCTTTTATTTTAAACATAATACGGGTGTTTCTTAAACTGGGGGATCCCCAGTCGTCACAATACGGGTTGTTTTAAAATGATCCAATGACTTGAATGGGCCATGGGTGACTATCAATCCAATAGTGCAGGTCTAACAGTTTTTGCGAACTTGAAGCCATGGCCATTTACTGGTTGGTGGTTTCAAACATGAAGTTTATTTTCCATTTCATAAATGGAATGTCATGTCATCCCAACTGACTTTTACTCCATCATTTTTCAGAGGAGTTAGCAGCAACCACCAACCAGTTTCGTTCGTTGATTTCGCCATGAAAAACCCTTGGTTAGTGAAAATTTCGCCCCGGCTGAAGGTTAGAAAAAGCCGGAGAACACATCACCATCAGAGAGGGTCAAGGGATTTTCTTGGAGGCGCGGCGCGTGGCAAGCGCTTTGCGCGGGGGGTTGGTTGGAGGATTTTGTAGGACCATAGGAGTTATATGTTTATTGTATCACAATGAAATATCCAATGTGCTCGCTACATGTATATATATATATATTTATCGTACACACATACATATATATATATATATATACACACGGGAGTCGATCTAAAGGACCATGTAAGTGTTTTTAACTCCCAAGGCCGCCAGTGTTACAACATGATACCCCGCGAAAGTGATTTTCTCATTTCACGAAAGTTCATTTTTTGGATTTTGGAATGTCCGTTTGAGAAAGAAGTTTGAAGCGCCAAATATGCACCCCATAGTCCCATGGATGATCATCATTTTCCAATTAAAAACAGTCAAAGCCATAATATAGGTACAGTATAACTGTACAATGATATCCCATCCCATAAACATAGAAAAAGGTGTGGTGTTAACAATGTTAACCCACCATTCAACACGATTATGTTCATAATTTTCCCATGGAAAAACCATGTTTCTTCAACATCTTTTTGGAGTTGACCGGTATTTCTCCACATGTTTTCGCATAGGCTGGAGAAAGGGTGACCTGGGCATGGGCTTGGGCCTCAAGAGTCGATTCCAAGGATTCGAAGAATGGGTCAAAGCCATAGAGCTAATCCCAATACTGGTCCATATATTTAATTGTAATTTTCCAATAATAACTATAATGATCAAATGATCTTATGGTAATATAATATCATGGTATTCATATATCCATGAATATATCCATTAATTATCATATATCATTCCCAATAATTCAATATTGCTTATAAATATATGGAAATTTCCATTAATGGTCTAAATAACGGTGTATTTCCATATATCAATGGTTATTTTCCAATTATGATCTTGCACTTAAATATGGAAAATAAGATCATATCCATTAATATATGGAAAATATATGGACTATAGCAACTAGACTAGTATATACATATTAAATTACTGTGGGTAAAACAATGTCATAAACCACTCATGACTGGGAATGGTAAACATACCATTTATGGTGATGACTGGGGGGTGGTTTATGATTGTTTGGTTTACCAACATTAGTGGAATATATTGATATGATGTCACTATATCCCTATGACATAGATCCAGATACGTATTACAGGATGGGGCCCTCCAGTTGCAAGTTGGTTTATAACCCTATCCAAATATGGTTATGTGCGTATCATACACTATGGTTATTATAGTTCTGTTCACCAACTTAGCTAACGAATTGGGGCCCCATCCTGTAAGTCATCATTGTATTGCTCTTTTATTATTACCAGTCTGTCTGGGGAAATATTCAGATCCAGCTATACCAGATGGTGATATGTGGTGATAATATGGTGAGAAAAAAATATATGTACGGTAGTCATTATTCAGTATGGTGACAAAAAAAGGTGATAAATATTGGAGACTTGTTATATCCATTGATTCATGACATATTGATCATGGAGATACGTTGATATGGTTATATATATATATATACAATAATTTATTGATACCGTGATTCGATTTTCATGGATTGATGGGATAACATGGTGATTTTAAGCATATCATGGAGACTTGATTTACCAACCATTGTTGTTTTTTGGATCTAAACATGAATGAAATTGGTGATTATTGGGATGATTACTGTATTGCAAGTCACGGATTACCCTCTGGTAAACGTTTACATAACTATGGAAAATCACCATTTTCAATGGGAAAATCCACTATTTCTATGGTCATTGTCCAGTTCGCAAACTGTTAGTTTACCAGAGCGTATGTAATGATGCTATGATGGTGTAGTGGTGACCCAGTTCTGGATTCATGGTGATGAATCAACACTGTTTCAATCATTCGATGGAGTAACAAACAGCAACGAACACGACTATGGGGCACCGCATGGTAAGTTTGTTTCATGTTTTTTCACATTGGGGATTAACCAACATCAATTTGTAACAGAAGCCGCGATGGGCATACAATAGACATTGGATATGCAGATGTTTTTTTCTTCTGATGGATTCATCCCTATAGTTTTTCTTGGTTTATGTTTTCTTTTCGTTCAGAAAAACAACACACGTTTTCCCATTCATTCCCATCCGGTTGGTTGTTTTCATTCACCGATGAAGGTTCCATTGTTTTCACACGGCATGGGGATTTCCTATTATTTACAAAAGAGTTGTCATCCCATCCTATTTGGGATCCCAGTGATAATAATGGTTAATAATGGTTAATAATAATGGTTAATAATAATTAATGTTCCAAAGTGACTCATATTTTGCAGCGATACTATCACCAGTCGACGATAGTATATAGATGTTTTTCCATTGTTTTCCGGGTCACATGGCAGATTTTTCAGTGAATTCTTTGTCTCAGGATAGTGTGGTCCAATTCATCACCATCCTCTTGCCTGAACGGCATCAGCGCCGAGCCGTCTCTGACGCAGGCACAGAGCATGATCGAGATCATGGGGATGATGATGGATTTGAATAGGAAAAGATGATGGGAATATATATATATATATAGATATGTATATTTATAATTATATATATAATTATATATACATGCATATGTATAATTATTTAATGGGATGATACTATGGGAACAAAAAATGGAGATAAACAACTTGATATGCTATTTATGTGTATATATATTATATAGTAGGTAATGGTGATATTAGGAATGCACAATGGTGATAAGACCATCAATATCCATATGTGGACTACATTGGATGTGTGCACAACTGGCTTTTACCCCAACAGTGGGGATATCATGGGGATGATTTATCAACCAACAATGGTGATGTAGTGGAATATTATGGGATATATATATATATTATTGATGTAGTGGGATATTATGGAGATATAATGGGATATATGTATATAACTACCCAACTTGATATGGATTCTTTCTGTGTCCTGAAAGGTGGGGGATTTGCCCAATGTTTTGCATTCTGAATACGGAACAGTATGTTTAAACCATTGGATTTTGGGGGTGTATAGTAGTGTGCCCAGATATAGAACATATATTTATATATATATATACATATACATACACAGAGAGAGAGAGAGAGAGATCGGCCAAGTGCCTTCTGATACAGTCTTCGGAGTATGATTTTGTGGCGTACCTTCTCCGGAAGGAATTGGATTCATATGGATATATATATAATATATACACATGTTTTTTTTTTTTTTAACATCCTTATATAATTCATGAATCCATATATATATATATAATCATTAGATATCCACTCTAATGTAATGATGTATCATTACATAATACATATGTATAATATCCCATTACCTATTTCACTTATTATATATAACGGATTATATCCATTGGATCTCAGATCCAAACCTCAACTGAGGTGTGCAGACAGAAGTGCCCAAGAGTCCCTCAGGTGCCATCAATTTTCGGAGTACTGTCTGGTCAAAGTGATTATTTTCCATAGCTATGTTAAATTACCAGAGGGTACCCGATGTTTAGACAAACCCAAATGATGCTAGACATTCCGTGCATATCCATGCATACAGCATGACACAACTGTCTTTTCTTAGGTCTGCTCCAGGGGTCACTGTAGATTGCCTCCATCTCTCTTCATGCCCAAAGTTGCACGGAATTGTTTTGGAAGCGCAGTGTGTTGCACATAGAGCCAATGTTGACCAGTAAAACTTTGGACATAAGTTTGACGAACTGTAGGCATACATGTAGATTTTACATGTTTGTGGTGTAGATTTGTAAACAATGTATATTTTGGCATAATTTCCACCGAAAGTTATTAAGTTTTAGCAGTTGACATCAACGGATTCCAGCAAGATCAGCCCACCCGAAATGAATGGTGACGGATGGTGTAGAAATAATAATAGTTTCTCATGTCGTATCATATCAGCAAATGATGTTCGAAAACAGATATTGGATGATACTGATATGTTATTCTCTGGGTATTACTGACTATTAGTACCCGTACTTAGTAACCACTCTTATTCATGGGATTAACTATGAGCTAATGGAAAATTCAAAATATTCATGATAATTGTCAATCCCTTCACCCGTTCATATTAAGTATCCCCAGAAACCATGCATGGTTTACTGAGGAATTTACACACATTTGGGACCATAGAATGGGTGGGTATGTTTAATATTAGGGGGATGGGATTACACATGTTTTTTCTATCGGAAGCGGCCCCAAACGATAGGTAAGTTGGGTCGAAAAATGTTTGCCGTTCAACCTATATCAACTGTTGGATTTATGGTGGATATATATATATATATACTGGTTGGTGGTTTCAAACATTTTTTGTTTTCCATAATATATGGAATAATCATCCCAACTGACTAATATCTTTCAAGATGGTTAAAACCACCAACCAGTATATATATATATACATATACACATAAACCAAGAATCACATCCGTGGGTTTTTCGTGCATCAAACATGGAAACATGTTCAGTTCGGCCATGTCCTCGTTCATCATTCCATTGGGGCCGTCATCATCCGGAAGTGATGCTTGCATCACATCAACCAGCACTGGGAAGCCTTGGGCTTTCAAACATCTCTGGTTGGTGCTTTGGTTAATGATGGTTAATCATGGATAATAATGGTTAATGATGTTGGTTAATGGTGATTAATCACTGGTTGGTGGTGACTGGAACATATATTGGGAATGTCATCATCCCAACTGACGAGAACATATTTTTCAGAGGGATTGAAGCCACCCACCAACCAGTTATTTCAACCATAGATGATGATTCCCATTGACCGCAACACATTGCCCGGAGACCTCGACTCGAGACCAGGTGTGCTAAAGCCTCTAAAGCCTCCAGTTGGAAAGTTCGGTTTCCGGGCTCAACGGGCTCAGGTCAAAGGGGAACGTGAAGAACTCATGATGATTTACAGGACCTGTTGTTGTGTACCACAGATATTTTTTGATTTAGAGTTGTGTTAATAACTTTTTGTTAACCGGATGTATCACTCCACAGATATGTTGATTTAGACCAAATCGAGCGAGGTCACCATGGTCACCATCTTCAGATGGTGAGCTGCTGGGAATTTCCCTCCCAAAATCATCCGTTTTTTCAGGGTGACTTCCATAATTCACTTGCGTCCCAAAAGGGTAGATCGTGATCCCCACCGGTTATCCCCAACATCCAGTGGATTTTCTATCTGTAAACCATTGAAACCATGGAAAAAAAAACAAAAAAACATAAAAATTACATCGAATTCCATGATACTTTGGATGACATCTATGCTCAAATAGCTTTCCATGCGGATATCCCGTGATTTCCTCAACTGAACTGTGCTCGGAATGGCCAAGGGGACATCGGTCAGGCTGGGTGGCGGCTTTCGACTAGCAAAACATGGACCAAAAATGTTGGATTTAATGGGAATTACATAACTGGTCGGTGGTTTGGAACATGCATTTTATTTTCGACAATATATATGGGATAATCCTTCCCATTGACTAATATTTTTCAAGATGGTTAAAACCACCAACCAGACAGGATTTGAGAGGGTTTAATGGGATTATCGTCAGAATATCATGGGAATATTATGGTTATTGTTTTTTAATTGAGGATATCATGGGGGTAAAACCAGCACAGCGCATATAAAATCATATAAATATGTTGGATTTGAAGATATCGATGTTGATCACAATTACATATAGTGGATGTAAAGATGTAGAGGGACCAAGTGTTTTGATTGGATTTCACCGATGAACCTTGGGATATCACTGGTATTTACTAACCAATGGGCAGGAGGGTTATCAACAATCGTTTCACAAGAAATGAGGCGTGATATGGGGCCAAACATGACTACTGGTTGGTGGTTTGGAACATGATTTTTATTGTTCCATATATTGTGAATGTCATGATCCCAACTGACGAAGTCATATTTTTCAGAGGGGTAGGTCAACCACCAACCAGATGATTTCCATTTTGGTGACATATCCACATTATTCCACATCAAAAAATAGCTATTGAAAATTGCCATAGAAATAGTGGATTTATCCATTAAAAATAGCGATTTTCCATAGCAAACTGTTAGTTTACCCGACCTTGGGCAAAGAATTTGGGTGATCTCCGACCTGAACATATCTGTCAAAATCTGCCGGTTGCGATGCGTGAAATCAAGCCCCAAAAATTGACGGTTACGGTTGCCATGTCGCGGGGAAGAATTGTTACTTTTTTTGCTGTCGAATGAATATATATGTTTTTTTTAATGTTTTGGTGGTTGTACATTTTCTTTATACAGCTATCCAAAACATCATTTTGTAGTACTTTGTGTGCTTTTCTTGTTTAAGAGGGGGAAACTCAGGTAACAATCCATGGAAATCGCCCTTGGCGTCAACTCCGCGTCGTTGTTGCTAGGCTGGCTACATTCGAACGCCGCCACATAGCGGGTTGGTGAACTCAGTTTGGAGGGGCCAGGATTCTGGTGACGATGGGGAGCCATGGCTATTAATTAACTGATTACCCAAGATTGTTGATGAGGCACGAACTTTTAAAGATTTAGTGTTTTTAGAAAGCCATGATGCAACCATGAGATGGTTGATTTGATGTGCTATTTTGATTTCAGGGTTTTGTGTTTTGTCCTTCATTTGTTTTCCCCATGATTTTGTGCTTGACTGGGTCATTGGCTGGGATTACTCTATGTTCCTTTGTCCTTCTACTCCGCCATGGCTTCGTCATCAATCTCTTCTGCATCCTGTTGTCGGGGCGCTCAGCTGTTGGGAATATGTCAGTCGGAGGTTTGAAGCCACATGTTCTTGGAGAGCTTGACCTTGGAATTTGTTTCAATTTGAGCACCTTTAACATTCTCAATTGGAAAACTACAGAAATTAGCTCTTTGAGTTTGCGCTTGGAATTTTGTGTCATTCTTCAGCATCTTTTGCTCAAACCACTCGGGCACGCTTTTAAGCTTAGGGGCGTGGGCATGTTCATGGCGCAAATCCGTGTTGTCGCTTGCCTCATCATCCTCATCACCCTGGCATTGAGCGCCGGAGCTGCAGACACCAACGGCACAGACCCTCGCCCCTATGACACCCGCAGGGCATATCAGACCAAGGCAGCCAGTACTTCTGGGCGCCATCCTTGTGAGCCTGATGGTTGTCCGCCTAGATGAGACAGGTATCACTTTCATCACGCCAGTTGCTCGCCAATTTTGGTGACGAAGAAGGTGCGTGAGAAGGCTTGCTTCGCTAACAAGGCGACTTGCAAAACAGTGCTTTGAGCAGATGATTAAAAAGGTCTGTGTGTAAGTGTAAGTAGGCATTGCTTCAATAGATCATTGATGCCAGTGAGCCTTCAAAAGATTGATATTCAGTGCATTCATGCCTGATACAAAGACAAACCCTTCCAAAAACTTGAGAAGACTGGCACCAACAAGTCTGGGACGCACACCACACAAATCTTCTTCACTCCATTTCGCCCCAAAAGTTCGGATTGCTGTGCCATTTACATCGCGCTGAGGTTAAGAAGACATGGTTATCAACAAGTTCATGAAGGGCGGTTCGGGCATGGTAATTGCGGTAATTAAAGAGATTTGAGATTGAGAAAGATGTGATGCTGTTGTTGTATGCTGGTATGTATGCTGGGGGGTGGGATAGTATATTGGCTGGGGGTTGAGGCTTCCCCTTCGGGGGAGACTGTGGTAAATAATCCCATAATCTTCATGATAAATGATTATGAAAATTATGTTGGTTATCCCCATAAATTTGAAGTGATGATTATGAAATTCAAACTCAAAATTACAAGAGGCACACAAACACTTTGAAGCATGAGGAGAATTTGAAGAAGAATGATAGTTAAATTTCATTTTATAAAAGTGAGATTGTCTTTTGTTTTGGTTTGCTGTTATGTTTTTTTGGTATAGTCTTCTTTATGGTTATTGTATTGTTTAGGTTGTTTGAGTTTTTTTGTTTTGTTGTTATGATTTATGTTATTGTTTTCTATAAGGTGGAGCAGACCTGTCCGATTGTTTATCCTGTTATGATTTGGTTGTATAATATGTGGGTGGGTCAGGGAAAAAGATAAGACAGGTCTGGCTTCATAGATAAATTATTTCATAATTTATCTCAAAGTCCATTCCTTAGGTATAGGCTTTACAATTGGCTTTTGAATGAGGTGAGGTGTATAGGTGGGTGCTATGATTTATGGTATAGTCTTCTTTATGATCTATTGTATTGTTTAGGTTGTTTGAGTTTTGTTGTTTTGTTGTTTTGTTGTTATGATTTATGTTATTGTTTTCTATAAGGTGTTGCTCCCCTGTCTTTGGTATTAACCCCATAGAATTTGCTTGTATAATAATGTGGGCGGTTAGATGAGAAAGACGGGATTGCCTATGGCTAACTAATATATATATATATAATAATTATATATACACATACATATGATATTCTTTTCACTAAGCCAATGATTTCTTATTTCCTTCATCATCTTGAAATTCACCACCCGTTTGTTAGATGGGGGCCCTTAACATCTATAAACATCTTTGAACATCTATAAAATTTCTAAAAAACATCTATATACATCTATAAACATCTATAAACATCTATATTAATATATACAACTATATAAACATCTAGAAACATCTTTAAACATCTATAAACATCTATGAGTGTTGTTAACCTCAAACATGAAGATGGTTGTACAACACTATCCCCTCAATGCGCTTGGGGAGAATGGGAAGCCACATGTGTTCCCCATGGAGCATTGGGAATACCCAAGAAAAAACATGTGGCACATGTAAATAGTGATAGTAAATTACTACAATACTGATAGTACATTAAATTCCTGGATAGTGATAGAACAATTTTGTAATTTACTGTGGAATTTAATTTCCTTTTCCGGGCTAGAACAAACACGCTAAATTATTATAAAATATTATAAATGGGTCGGATCCACCAAAAACACCGAAAATAGTACATCCATTCCATTCCATTCCATTCCGTGTATCGGATTACCATCCCCCAGTCATCACCATCTTTATAGGTGGTATGTAGAAACCACCCACATCTATCTGATTTACATGGATAAATTTCGGCTGAGAGTCAGCTACAAGATGGGCTCCCCCAGTGAAATGTTTGTCGGTTTATGGGGCCCCATCTAAATATAGTTATAAGATGTTATAAGATGTTATAAGATCTGGTTGGTGGTTTGGAACATGATTTTGATGACTTTCCATATATTGGGAATCCATGATCCCAACTGACGAAGTCCATCATTTTTCAGAGGGGTAGGTCAACCACCATCCAGAGATGTAAAAAAAAAACGTTATAATATGTTATAAGTAATTTGCGTATATAAGATATTCATATGGTTTTATAACTATAGTTATATAAGTTATCTAAATGTTGATACACCAACTTGTTATTTTACTTATGGGCACCTTAACTTAGCGAATTGGGGCCCCATCCTGTACCGGACCCGGGGGCTGGGGGCGTTTGCGCAAGCGCTGCAGGTCCGGCGAGTCGGCAGATACCGCAGACAACAAGGAGGACGATGGGATGATGATGGGCTGCCCTACCCACCATAAGGGTGGAATATAGGGATGATAGGGATTTTAGGGATGATAGGGATTATAGGGATGATAGGGATGATAGGGATGATGTTTATTTATGAGGATTCTGCAGCTAAGGGATGATATGGAATTTGTCGGAAATATGATGGACTTATGACATCTCATCTTATGACCATTTGGAAGTGCAAAAAATATGACATTTCACCACTTCCGATGAGTTTTCCACTATGATTACCCTCTGGTAAACATTTACATAACTATGGAAAGATCCACCATTTTTCATGGGTAAATCCACTATTTCAATGGCTATGTTCAATAGCTTAAACTGTATACCAGACCGGGTAGGTCACATCCTGCAGTTGGAGAAACTCATCCGAACTGCTGTCCATGGGTGAATCCAGACATCCCCTTGGGGAATGATCCACTGGCTAACTAGTAATAATCCCAGCAACCCCCAGCAACCCATCCAGCAACCCTACGTAAAACGCACCAGTAAGATCTTAAGAGCACTTCAGGGGTACTGAAAAGTTTCAGAGCCATTTTCTGGGCCCATTTTGTGAGGTCCCATGTTGACTTCCGTTTTGATTGCATCATCTTTCAACCTTCATCAGTCTGCTGTATCCTGGTTCTAAGGTCCATGAATCAACATAATCCAAGTTCAATTATATAGTAGATTTGAACCCTTTTAAATAGAACAGTGATATGTATCACATATAGTGATACATGATACATATAACTGTTGTATGTTTTAATATATTTGTTGGGGGTTACTATATATTTTGATCCTCCTAACACTCACCAGTCGCCAGAAATTCTGGTGGAACGAGCTGGATGTTGTATTGTTTGTTTTGTCGAACTATTACACATATATTACAGATATACTACCCAGCTGCACGACCAAACACATACCAGCCAAGAATTACACTATGACTGCTGGTTTCCTCAGTCATGGGGGTACTCCCAGTTCGCATCATTTCTCATCTGGTTGGTGGTTTGGAACATGTTTTATTTTCCATAATATATGGTTTAATCCTTCCCATTGACTTTCATATTTTTCAGAGGGTAGGTCAACCACCAATCAGACAGGATTTGAGAGGATTTAATGGGATTATCGTCAGAATATGGAATATAATTCTTATTGTGTTTTCATTGGGGATATCATGGGGGTAAAACCAGCACAGCGCATATAAAATCATATAAAATCATATAAATATCTTGGATTTGATGTTCCATTTCATATATGGGATGTCATCCTTCCCATTGACTTTCATATTTTTCAGGGGGGTAGGTACACCACCGAGCAGAATATCTTGGGATTGACGTCCAGGCGAGCGAGTCCACGCCCTGCAGCGAAACAGATGTTCACAGTCATGGTGGACGACGCGTTGCCTCCGTGCGGAGCTCAGGGCCACGTGCGGAATTTTAAACGTGACCCGAAGGTAAACATACTTAGGAATCTGTGATATCTGTGGAAAACTGTTGTTTTTTAAGGAAAGTAAGTCGACTACATTTATGGTGGGTAAAGACTACATCTTTAGTTTGCACGAGAGTAGCAGTGGTTGAGTGGTTGAATATGCCCACAGGGAATCCAAAAAAGATGGGAATTTCACGGCAAGTCATAGGAGTGCTAGTGGTAAACGTGGAGCCACTGCATATAACTTACTATCCATGGTGAGGAGGGAGTGGTTTTTTGGGAGCCACAAGTATCTCCATATTCCCTATCAAAAAAATATAAAATGGCAGTTTCAACAGTCTGACCCATTGTTCCTTCTGGTAATCAAACATGACATTGGAACATCTACCATTCAGTTCGATGAAACTCCCACTTGGTTCGATGCCATATGTGAATTGCCCAGCCGTGTTTGATTGCCAGAGCAGTAAACCCTATTAAAATCCATGAAATCCTTATCTAGTTCCTCTATTTTCCTGTTGTAGATTTATATACCCATTGCTCCCCATGTAAGCCAACCATAAATACAATGTTCATTACATATGTTTGTTACATATCTCTATATTATATAAACATATATATATATACACCCATATTAGTGGATATTACATATTAATAGATGTGTATACACATATGAATAAAGTACTCTGGTGTAATATATATATATAGATCGTTATCTACCTATATTCATACTAATGGAAATGTCATCATATTTATTGGGAATGTCATCATCCCAACTGACTAACTCCATCATTTTTCAGATGGGTAGGTCAACCACCAACCAGTAATGGATATTCATTGAGATTACCCTCCATGATATCCCCATTTTCCACCTGCGAGTCCTCTCGGATTTGGCCATCGTCTAAGGCGACCTCATCCCCTCCACCCGAATCGGCAGGCCAGGGAAGCCCAGGCTGGCTGGTTGTACCCTTTTTTGATGTGATACCCTCTGGTTATGGCCCATTTAGTTCGTTGATTTACCTATTAAAGATGGTGATTTTCCATAGCTATGGTAGTTTACCAGAGGGTAAATAGATGTATATAAATAGAATATTAAAGTGATGGTCAAACTGACTAAGAATGGGGATTGATGATCTTGATGGTTGATTTAAGTTGGTTAAATTGGTTTATAAATCCAATAACTAGGGTTTATTGTGGCTGATATATCTATAGCTAGTGGGGGGTACGTATGTTCTATGATTCTTTGAAACAATCTAGATTGTCGTCAGTGTCAAGCGATCTTTGCAGCTCTAAAGCCCCCGGCCATATCCTTATTTTCCAAGGTTCTTGCCCTCAATCGCCATAGTGAAACCTTTTTTGATTGTAAAATCACCATGTTTTGATGGTCCAAGCACCATTCTTGATAGCTATAATGTGAGGCCCCCAAGATAGCTAAGTTGGTGCCAATAACTCCAATTTCACTATGGTTTATGGTACTTATAACTTTAGTTACTGGGGCTTTTGTTAACCAACTAACATCACTGGGGGGCCTCACATTGTACCAATCTCAAAGATCATTCTCCCAAACGTTGGTCCCATGTTTTCGCCAGGAATGTGCGAACTGACCCGCGGTGCGTCTCTCTCCACCTTCGAACAGCTGGCCGACAACGCCGAAAAGTTATGGCTACGGCAAGAGATGGAGGATGCAACAACGGGTGATCGATGGCGATTTACAGGTGGGAAAAACAAGCCATCAATGGCAAGGAAAAGGATGTAAAATGGTAAAAGCAACTCACCAATGAAGGGTTATGATTAATTATATTATTACAAATGATTACTAATTAGTTTATGATTGTTTGATGTTTTTTTTTTTTCGAAAGATGTATACGAAGCAATGGTTGATTTGGAATCACACCACGGCAGGTATGTACATGCCTGTGCCATCCTGTACCATATCATACCATCACTGGTTGGTGGTTTGGACCATGAATTATTTTATTGTTCCATTTCATATATGGGATAATCCTTCCCAGCTGACTTTCATATTTTTCAGAGGGGTAGGTCAACCACCAACCACATATATATATATATATACACATATGTATTACAGTATAGTGATATTTATGCACGTACACAAGGTGGTTCCCCCATGGTTTGGCTTGTCATTTTGATCAGTGAACCATGCTTACCAAGCTGCTTACAGCTCAATACCTGGAACCCAGTTAACAATCAGAAATTTTCCATGGTGTGTTTCCCTATGATAGTGAAGAATAACTACATAAGAAATGGTCGTTTCGGGAAACCACCATGAATTTCTGTTTCTGAATGGGGTGCTCGGTATATAAATTACATATACTATCACATGTTAAAACCACATAACGCCAACTAATTCAAAAAATAGATATAATACGGTCCGCCTCATGATTGAAACCACACAACACCAACTAAATTAAATAGATATCTATCAAAACCACATGAAACAAATGCTTGTTCATCTATTTCCTCCGGTCTTTTAAAGGATACCCCCTCGATTGAGCCGCGACTGAAGCCTGCAGAGCGTCCCAGGAGCGCGAAATCGAACGCCCGGCGCGCTATGGGGTCGGAGTCTTAGCGAAGCTCGTCCCGGAGCGATGACTGAATCGCTGCTATAGCGGCTGTGTCTGAAAATGGAGTGCCTTTGGTAAACTAACATAGCTATTGAAAATGGCCAATTTAGTTCGTTGATTTACCTATTAAAGATGGTGATTTTCCATAGCTATGTTAGTTTACAAGAGGGTATACCTTCTAAATGGCCTGTTTTGAGACGAAACCATTTACTCGGAATGGAACATACAAGGTGGTGCACCCCCCTCAGTTGTAAGTCTGAAAAATCCCAGATTCATGGATAGATCGTATATATATATATATAGATCTACTATAAACATCTATAAACCATATAGATATCTCTAAAAAACTAACTTTGCAATCTATGGAGCACCACCTTTTATGGGTATGTGGGGGTACCTCTCAGAGAAGTCCAATGACGAACCAGTGAGCTGATGTAATTCGGTGAACGTGAACATTGTATCTGATGATATGTGGGATATTAATTGAGATAATTGAGTTTCTGCATTTGTTTTTTGAATTTATTGAAACTTAATGGGATTTAATGGCATATGAATCTGAACACATTGTGTTGCAACCTCACATCCTAACGTCACTGGAATGATGGGAATTGGATTGAGGTAACGATATAATGGCCAAACAGTTCAGGCTGGCTAATTCTTCTAATTGATCCAGATCTCTACATATATATATATGTATATGATTGTATATGATTGTATATGTATGTTTGTATGTTTGTTTGTCTGTTTGTCTGTCTGTCTGTCTGTCTGTAATGTATGTATGCATGTATGTAATGTAATGTAATGTAATGTAATGTAATGTAATGTAATGTAATGTAATGTAATGTAATGTAATGTAATTGTATGTTTTCTGTAATGTAATGTAATGGTATGTATGTATGTAATGTATGTAATGTATGTAATGTATGTAATGTATGTATGTAATGTAATGTAATGTAATGGTATGTAATGGTATGTAATGGTATGTAGTGGTATGTAATGGTACGTAATGGTATGTAATGGTATGTAATGGTATGTATGTATATGTATATGTATATGTATATGTATATGTATATGTATATGTGTATGTGTATGTGTATGTGTATGTGTATGTGTATGTGTATGTGTATGTATGTATGTATTGTATTGTATTGTATTGTATTGTATTGTATTGTATTGTATGTATGTATGTATGGATGTATGGATGTATGGATGTATGGATGTATGGATGTATGGATGTATGGATGTATGGATGTATGGATGTATGGATGTATGGATGTATGTATGCATGCATGCATGCATGCATGTATGTAATGTAATGTAATGTAATGTAATGTAATGTAATGGTATGTAATGGTATGTAATGGTATGTAATGGTATGTAATGGTATGTAATGGTATGTAATGGTATGTAATGGTATGTAATGGTATGTAATGGTATGTAATGGTATGTAATGGTATGTAATGGTATGTAATGGTATGTCATGGTATGTCATGGTATGTAATGGTATGTAATGGTATGTAATGGTATGTAATGGTATGTAATGGTATGTAATGGTATGTAATGGTATGTAATGGTATGTAATGGTATGTAATGGTATGTAATGGTATGTAATGGTATGTAATGGTATGTACTGGTATGTACAGTAATGGTATGCATATATGTATGTATGTATGTATGTATGTATGTATGTATGTATGTATGTATGTAATGTTATGTAATGTAATGTAATGTATTTAAGTTATTAAGTTGTAATTATGTAAGTTGGTACTTATTAATCTGTAAGTCTGTTAAGTATGTATTTATTTATGTATTTATGAATTAAATGTTTTTATGTATGATTTTTCATGTAATCATGTATGTAATGTATGTAATGTATGTAATGTATGTAATAAATGTAAATGTAATGTATGTAAATGTAATGTATGTAATGTATGTAATGTATGTAATGTATGTAATGTATGTAATGTATGTAATGTATGTAATGTATGTAATGTAATTAAATGTTTGTATGTATGTATGTATGCATGTATGCATGTATGTATGTATGTATGTATATATGTATGTATGTAATGTATGTATGTAATGTATGTATGTTATGTATGTTATGTCTGTATGTAATGTAATGTACTGTAATGGTATGTAATGGTATGTAATGGTATGTAGTGGTATGTAATGGTATGTAATGGTACGTAATGGTATGTAATGGTATGTAATGGTATGTAATGGTATGTAAGGGTATGTAATGGTATGTAATGGTATGTATGTATATGTATATGTATATGTATATGTATTTTATGTATATGTATATGTATATGTATATGTGTATGTACGTATGTATGTATGTATGTATGTACGTATGTATGTATGTATGTATGTATGTATGTATGTATGTATGTAATGCATGTATGTATGTATGTATGTATGTATGTATGTATGTATGTATGTATGTATGTATGTTATGTATGTTTTGTATGTTATGTATGATATGTATGTTACTGTATGTTATGTATGTTATGTATGTTATGTATGTTATCTATGTTTTCTGTAATATACTTGTATGTATGTTTGTATGTATGTTTGTTTGTTTGTTTGTAATGTATGTATGTAATGTAATGTAATGTAATGTACTGTACTGTAATGTAATGTAATGTAATGTAATGTATGTTATGTATGTATGTATGTATGTAATTAAATGTTTGTATGTATGTATGTATGTATGTATGTATGTATGTATGTATGTATGTATGTTGTGTATGTGTGTATGTAATGTAATGTAATGTAATGTAGTGTAATGTAATGTAATGTAATGAGATGAAATGTAATGTATGTTTTCTGTAATGTAATGGTATGTATGTATGTATGTATGTAATGTATGTAATGTATGTATGGTATGTATGTATATATGTAATGTAATGTAATGTAATGTAATATAATGTAATGTAATGTAATGTAATGTATGTATGTAATGTATGTAATGTATGTATGGTATGTATGTATATATGTAATGTAATGTAATGTAATATAATGTAATGTAATGTAATGTATGTATGTAATGTATGTATGTAATGTATGTAATGTATGTAATGTATGTAATGTATGTAATGTATGTAATGTATGTAATGTATGTAATGTATGTAATGTATGTAATGTATGTATGTATGGTATGGTATGGTATGGTATGGTATGGTATGGTATGGTATGTATGTATGTAAGTATGTATGTATGTATGTATATATATATATAATATGGGTAAATTATAGTTACCCCGCTGTGACCTCAATGAAGCATGGGAGATGGGGAATCATCCAGATCAACGACAGAGATGGGGGCCTTGATGCGCGTTTTGTCCCATGGAAGCACCGAGTTCAACGGAGCAACTTCCCAATCTTTGTTAGTTAACATCTCAATGTTCGATTCTTGACTGTCATTTTGCTGTTTTGTTAAATGACTTTTGGTTGCAAATCACAATGTTTGATCCTGTTTAAGGTTTTTCCAATGGTAAAATTCCAACGTTTTGTTGCTGCATGTTGCTGCAATATCTCTATGCTTCATGGTTCAAATACCTGGACCCTGCAAGTACCAGGAAAATTGCTAAAATAGTTGGTATGCTACCCTAAAGATTCTATAGATCTTTGGTACTTCCAACCATTTTTAAGGTCGCCATGGTTCAAACTTTTCCGTTTTTTCGCGCCACTGAGGCCCGTCATCTGAACACCCCAGTGGTCATCGTGTCCTCGGAATTGAACCCTTGGTCCAAGACAGGCGGGACATTTGGGTTCCCAACGGTTTTTTTTTGGAGAAGATAGAGGTACCCAAACCACATGAAGCCATATTTGGGAGATATATTTTTTGGATAGGGCTTTCATAGGCCTTTTATATATATATATACATATATATATATGTATGCATGTATACATATATATATATATGTATATCTATGGCAACGTGCCTCCAATTTAGGTACCTGAAATGGCCATTGAGGTTATCAATCTGGATAATGATGATTTTATGACATGACATATTTTATTCAATGGTTACATTTTGAGGCTGTTAAATGCTGATTCATAGGTGATATCATGGGATAATATGATTTAATAGCCATTAATATGGTGATGGTGTGTATATATATATATTATTTACATGTATATGTATTGTAATTTCATCATCATCATCATCATCATCCTCATCGTCATCGTCATCGTCATCGTCATCACCGTCATCATCGTCATCATCATCATCATCATCATATACCTAAGTATAGTTATAGATACTTAATATTACCATCCGGAGTTCTCAAATTTGGCGATTGCTGGGAACACCCCGATCAAAATGGAGGTGTATAGCTGGGAAGATTATCGAACTAAATGGGTGATTTTCCAGCATGCTATGTTGGTGTACTGGAGGGTAGCAACAAATAATCTTGTCTGAAATGTTGGGGAGCTCTCCAAACTCCTTTGATGCATCATAATTCCAAAATAAGATTTATAACTGAAAATTGTGGCTAACCTCTTTTTTTGAACATAACCAAATATTGGGATATAGTAAATAATCATGATTTTATCAGGTTCCATGTTCAATTTGAGGCTCGGGTGTGGATCGGTTTCACAACTTTGGGGAAGTCTATCTCTGCACAATTCTCGAACCTTTGCATACAAGCCCATCTCCCGTATTAACGTCCCACTGGACCACCTGATTTAGTATTGGATCGATTTATGTGGGGACCATATGATGGCTATATATTAGAGGAATGGAATACAAAGATGGATACTTTACACCAAATGGCCTGTAGCTGTACACCTTTTCTTGGTACTCCGACAGTTTGGAGGGTCAAGGTTTTTCAGCGTAGATGTTTTTCATTTTGGGTATTTTAAACATTGCGGACATTGGTAGATGGTGCCAAAGGGCTATTTTGCAGTTGTCCTCCCATGTCCAAAGAAGCTTGGGAAAAATAAAAACGCGGAATGTGATGGAATGTGGAGCCATTGTCCTCCCATTCAGAAGTGGTCAAAGTGTGACATCTCCTGCCTACTGAGCCTACTGCAGGTGGCCTTGCGATGGTGGTTGGAAGCTATGCCTACGAGTTTGCAGTGCGAGGCCACCACGGTGGACTCTGTGGACCATGGAACATGTGGGGAGCATGTGGGGAACATGTTCCCCGGATGGGGCCCCAGTTCGTGAACGCAAATAGTTGGTGCAAATAACCACAATAACAAGTTGGTGTATAATACGCAAATAATTAATTATATGCCTCTATTTATAGATGGGGTTATATAAACCAACATTCACATCACATTTGGGGCCCCATCCCTGTATGATTCTGGTGGTTCCTTCTATGTTTCACGTTGTTTCATCCCATACACCCAACGAAAAGTGAAACGCTGAAGCGAAGTGAACGAAGCTTCACGGAAGTCACCGGGGCACCTTCAGGGGATCTCAATGGCAGTGGATTGCGAGGTATTTCTGCCTTTTTTTGGGCAGGTTTCGTGAGGTTTACCCTCTGGTAAACTAACATAACTATGGAAAATCAGAATTTTTAATGGGAAAAACCACTATAACTGGTGATTTTCAATAGTTATGTTAGTTTACCAGAGGTTTATTTCCAATAAGAATTTGGACTGACTTTGGGGAGAGGTTGTGAGAAGCAATTAAGCAGCAAAAAATGGGATTAATCAGGATAGAATGCGAATATATCTTTAAGATTCTACAAGTGGGATATGTAATTGAACATATAATCTATACGACTTTGGATTAATTCAAGTGGCTCTGATTTGACACAGAAAGGGGCCACCCAGTTAATTAAAACCTTCCGCTTAATTTGGATATATCCACAATCAATTCCCAAGTTATTCTTTTGAACAAACAAAAGATAACAAAGGCCTATCACAAATCACATGAATCCATCTTCATGTTTGTTTCTTGCCTCGTTTTCCCTCATGTTTCATGGTTCAGTTCCCCTTTTCCCTCATGTTTCATGGTTTCTTGTTGCCCTCTGGTAAACTAACATAGCCATGGAAAATTACCATGTTTCAGAAGTATATCATCGAACTAAATGGTCCATTTTGGCTATTTGACATCACCAGAGGCTACATGTTCCATCATTTTAACCATCAAATGTTCCATTTTTCCCAGCGACTTCGCAACGGTGAAAAGCTGATTTCGAAGCCAGGACATCGCACCATGGCCATTTCGCCGCGCTATGGTGACTACCAAAACTGTCAACGTGTTGGAGCCACCAAGGCGACCAACTGCGCTGATGGATCTATAGAGAAGTTACCGATGTTTTGGCGGGAACCAATGTTTCGTGTTTAATGGTTATAATAGTAGTCATCAGTAATTAGGAATCTGTAGTAGTTATCATCAATATATATATATATATAATAGTGACTATTGAGTATTAATAGCAATAACAACCATGAATAATGTTAACAACCATTAATAATTAGTGAATGGTTATGGTCAATCAATATTATGAATTTTTAATCAGCTGGTTAAACAACTATTATAACTATTGATAATGGATTATATATAACTATACTATTAATGGTTGGTAATCATCAATGATTTTATAAATTATTATTATATATGTATATATTTATAATATATATATATACATATTTTGTATCAACAGTAAAAATAACCATGAATTATTGGCCATGAATAGTATATGTTATTTGATTATTATTGAGTACTAACCATTCATCAACCTATGTAATCACATCTATCGGGAATGCAGGGGATATTTAATGGAAACTATAGGGAACTTATGTTAGTAGACGGTTAGCAACTTAACTATCAGATAATCTATTACCATCATATATAGTTTTAATACCATCAATCAATTGGGTATGGATATAATTAACCACTAATAAAACTCAATCAAATATTTATATTCATCAGTTGACTGGATTTCTACGTTGGCTAAACATAGATTTTCTTAAATGGCTAAACATAGATATTATCTTGATTTAGTTGGATAATATGGTGGATAAGATGTTTAACTACTTAATTGCAATATTCCATGTCAATACAATCTTTAGATAATATAATATAGATAGCTTGCTTGTGCTTAGTAGGGAATGGGGAATGGGATGATTGTTAATAGTTATTATGGGTCACTCCTCCATTCCCTCCTAGGGATTCCCCTCATAGATTCTGAACAGTAGAATCCCCGCACTAATCTCAACCGGCAGGTTTTCAACACATAGATGAGGATCGTTGGTTTCTATAGCTTGTTATCAAAATAAAGATATGGGGTATGGCCAACCGAGCAGTTTTTACTCTGGAAACCAGCAATCCAACAATCATGCATATTGATTACTAGGATCAACGCTGGGATTGAAAACCAGGTTCACCAATCACGATCCCTCAAAATAACACAAAAAGGCCAACATTTGTTTTTGTTCCCTAGAGATCTACATACTTTCTGAGAATGTATGCTTAACCTTAAAATCACAATCAAGTAATGCCTCATTGAGTACTTGGACGGATATGTCATTGTTACTTTGCAATAGTTTAGGCTATAAAGAGACGCTGGAATGATTCAGCTGATTTTTTTTTAATGGTACGTGTGACTCAAAACTATCATTGGGAGATGAACCAATCATATGTTAGTGGCTTTTGAACTGATATGGTTATATTTGGTATATCAGTGGGTACCATAACTAATGATCTAATGATCACAAATTATTGATGCATTATCATCGTATACATATGTATCTATCTCTATAATATATATATATATATGCACACCCCATGGATCCAAGTCCATCTTGAGAAGGTACCCATTGCGCCAATATCACAGCCCACCGAAGGGCACGGCTGGATCTATAGGAATGTACTGCCTATAAGTCCCCCTTGTTCATTGGAAACTCCCGTTAATACAATATTCCCATGCAGATTATATATATATATAGTTATATATATATATACCCATCCCTATAGTGTTGATTGTATAATGGAAATTGGTGTCCATCTCCATTCTACTAGGGATGGATATAATGGGATATATCCGAATTGGGAGTGTATGCCATTTAGCAGTCAGATCAATCAGTTCATAAATTGAGGCATCATCTAATGGGTTTTTATGGAGCATCGCCCTTCGACCCCATACCCACTGAAAATCACACCATTTCAACTCCCAATGAATTCCCCATCAGATTCCTTCGTTGTTTGGAGCGCCATGAAGAAAAAACACCAGAAATTGATCGCCAGTGAAATTTTGCAGCGTCAGATCTGGCTTGCTGGTCAAGAACATGAAGTTCAGTTTTACCACCAGCGCCAGGAGACGGGGACGAAGAAACCGAAGAAAACGATGGAAATCCGCATCAGGTGTCCGTTTCGAAAAGGATCTAGACATGGTGTTGTGTTTTTTTTAATGATAGTGGATGGTCCAAAGCTATCACTATCTAAAATTATCTAACTATCACTATTCATCCTATATCTTTCATACAGGATCTATTTTTCACTATTGCTGGATGAGTCAGTTGGGCACTTGGGATTTTTCGAGTCGGGATTCCATGGGATGATCCCAATTTTTTCATGGGAATACATAGAATATGGGATGGCTATTGATTGGTATAGTAATATCCTATTGATTGGTATATGGGATGACTATTACTATTGATAATTGGGATGAATTGCTGATACAAATCCTTCCTGCGATACGGTACCCGAATCTTGCCCCTCATTTTATGAAAAACCCCAATCATCCTGCGGAGGCACAGCTTGCCTAGAGATTCAACAAGAATAATCCCATGTTCTGATGGTTATCCTTTTTGGTGAGTTTCTGCCGCCCAAGCGCTGCCGTTACCAAGCGCACAGCAGGACTTTGGCAATGGACGTGGATGCGATTACATCTTCGTGGACCATGATTGTCCCGCGTGCCAAGAGCAGAGTGCTGTTGATGCGAAGTGCTTGTCTTGGCGAACAAAAAGTATCTGAGTTTTCGGATGGTCAAAAGTCAAGGTTCGATTGTTGTTTCATGTTGTCAATTTTTGTTTCTTTAAACTGTATACCTTCAATATGTGTGAAAGTAGTTCCTCTTTTGTCTAAAAATTGATGAATACTGCAAAACCATCGAGCTCCAGACAATGTTCTTTCCTTCTTGGGGTGGATTCTTCAATCCCCATTGTTGATTGGAAAATCTTAAACTTAATAATGTATTCCCATTATATCCCTATTATACATATATATATATATGTGTATCATATTATATCACCATATATTCCAATTTTAGTTTCCAATCAAATTCTCAAACAATATTTTTTGGTGTTGGTAGAATCCCCAAAGATTGCTGAACTGTATTCCGAGGCGTTTGGATCTGTAGCTGTGAAAAGATTGGTAATTTCATGAGCGAAGATGAATGTCTATTCAGCAAAAAACATATGAATTAATGGATATACATATGCATTATTTTTCAGCATGTTCACTCATCATTTCATATGTGACACAATCTTGTTTTTGGTAAATTTACCTTGTTTATAGTGGTAAAACCTTGGTTTCTTGTTGTTAAACCATGATTTCTCTTGGTGAAACGATGCTTTCTGTTAGTTAAACCATCATTTTTGCTGGTTAAATCATGACTTCGCTTCAACTCTGCGGGCGATCCCTGGGGTCTTCGTGGCTTCTCGACTGGTCTCCCCAGGTTTCCATCGACCACAGGGTCTCTACGGCGATCCATCGAGTGGAGAGTACTCGGACCGTGGGTTGGTTGGCTCGGTGGGGCTCACGATGGGGTGGTTTATTATTATTATAGTATCAGATAATTATATATTATTTAAATTTTTGCAATAATATAGTAAAATTTAATATATTATAATATTGAATATAATATTTAATATAACATTTAATATGATATTTAATATAATAATATGTATACTGTATATATAATATACATATTATATATATATATATATTATATATATATATATGGAAACTTCGTGGGATTTGGGTTGTTTCGTGGGAGATGGTTGCAATAGGTTTTTGGGCATGGTTGCAAATACACTCTGGATGATCTTCCCATTTAATTAAATGCCCATTTGCCCATTGCTATGTTTGATTACGGGAGAAAAAATATAAAACATATGTATATATAACCAGATATATATATAACTATACCCACAGGCCCCGTGTGTTTTCCAGACCCACAACTATGATGTTAGATGATGTTTGATGATGATGATGATGATGATGATGAATGTTCGATGATCAACAAGGGTATTAGGAATATAAATTCCCACCCCCGTTAAACATCTACATTCATTGAAGATCTTCAATACGGGTTTGATTCTCCCACCCCCGTTAAACTTCTACATTCATTGAAGATCTTCAATGAGGGTTTGATTCTCCCACCCCCGTTAAACTTCTACATTTATTGAAGATCTTCAATGAGGGTTTAATTCTCCCACCCCCGTTAAACTTCTACATTCATTGAAGATCTTCAATAAGGGTTTAATTCTCCCACCCCCGTTAAACTTCTACATTCATTGAAGATCTTCAATAAGGGTTTAGTTCTCCCACCCGTTAAACTTCTACATTCATTGATGATCTTGATCATGTTCATCATCATCATCATCATCATGAAATTTGCCGGGAACGTCCCTGTAAACTTCCGGGCAACACACAGGGCCTGGCCGTAACTATATATATATAACTACCATATTATACTCCCAGCTTTCTTTGGTGAAATACTCTCATTGATGGCGAGCCGATCATCCGTTAGTTGTACCTGCAGATGCAGCGGGATTACATGTTTTCATCAGATGTTCTGGCTTATATCACCCATTTGGTCCTATTCTACCTATATAACTACCCGTACTTATTTGAGTGGATATGTATATATATAATATAATATAATATATAATATAATATAATATAATATATAATATAATATAATATAATATATATTACAATATGGAAAAGCCAGTATTGAAACATCCCCAAATCACCAGACATGAGTTGTGTATACCCTCCCCAAGTGGTAGGTTTCTGATTGGGGGGTTACTACGACGTTACCGTCCACATTGTCTCATCCTAATAACACACATATAATCACATATGTATATATATATATATTATATATATATAATATTATACTGGTTGGTGGTTTGGAACATGGCTTTTATATTTCCATATATTGGGAATGTCATCATCCCAACTGACTTTCACTCCATCATTTTTCAGAGGGGTAGGTCAACAAAACCAACCAGTATGGCCCCGGATATCCCCGCCGCCTCATACCCCATGCTGGTGGCCTGGCCATATAGGACCTCGTGCCACCTATACACTACCCACATGGTACTTCCATGCAGGTTCACTGCCTATATGTACTATCCCAAAAAGTATGTACCTTTCTAATAGCCATGTATACTAGCTACGATCAAAACCTCATATGCTAAACACACGTGCTAACCACATACTACCTATACACTATCTACATGATACCTTTATAACACCCCACCCATCCCACAGGGGGGGGCATCGGGGTAAGTTACTTTACATTTTACAACTTATTACTGCCCGTACGGTACCTTTATACTATATTTATCCATATGCTAGCAACTGTCAAGATCTCATATGCTATACATACATGCGAGCCACGTACTACGTATGCACTACCTACATGATACCTGCAGGGTTCACTACCTGTATGCCCATACAATCTATTACAGTAGCCACGTAATTACTAGCTACTCTGAAGATCTCATTTGCTACACATACGTGCTAGCCATGTGCTACCTATACACTATCCTTGCATGCTGACACACTACCTAGCCCACACCCATCCCACAGGGGGTCGGTGTGTGTAAACTATATCCTACATAGAGCCTCCTACATACAGAAACATGACCATGATGTTGGGGGTTGGGGGAGTTGGTGGCCATATATACTTAAAACATATAATTTAATATTTTATAATATAGTATAATATAACATAATGTCATCCATATGTATATATATATATATTATATCCCTATATTCTTACGTCTAACATCTTCTCACCGTACAAACAGCCATTTTGCCCCGTTGCCGGCAGGACAACTGCTTTCGCTTTTCGTTGCTTTGCATCGCCGCTGCTGAAGCTCCACTCGTCAGGACGACTCAGCGTTGCGTTGAGTCGTCTCGATGCAAGACGCTTGTTACGGGACGAATCGCAGATTGATTATGATTGATATGTATATATATATATACTAGATCGTTTAATATTATGTTTACATACGTTTACTATGATTATGATGAGTACATGGGATTATCATATGATGATATCTATGATTTATATACTATTTTGTTGTGATATCAATGACAATTCATTGCGTAATAATCCATAATAGACAACAGTTTCATTCATCATCCGTAGCAGAGTAGTGATCATCATCACCATGATCAACATGTTTCATGAGATGGGTATACTTGGACTTCTGTTCTTGGAATACAGTTGGTGGAGTGCATGTTCATGCCGCATTTCGGGTGGTATTTACTGTATGTTTTGCTATTATTTTTTCCAGTAAAGATGACATGTCTGTCATTATCAATCATCAATCATCAATCACCCCATATTTTGGTCAACTCCCCAGTTTTTTTTCTGTAAAACTCACCGGTTTTGATAATTCCCGTTAGATCACCATGTTCATTGTTTAAATCTGATGAAATCCGAGTTTTTGTCGGTGAAATCCCATGAAAACCCAATGTTTTTTGTCCCCCATTGCTTCTCAGCTGGTTCAATGCCTGGACATTCTGAGGTACTCAATTTGGGCGGCTCGGTCTATGGTGAAGAGGCCCACAACTTCCGTAGAAGCAATGTGCGACCTATGGTTTTGAGGGCTCCTTCATTCAGCAAGGAATCAAACAGTCGTGGATTCCTACTATTAATAGTTGGAAAGATCCATCATTTTTAATGGGTAAGATCCATCATTTTTAATGGGTAAATCCACTATTTCGACTGGGCCATTTTCAATAGCCTTTCGTATGTTTACCAGAGTGGATATGGTGGGAAAAGGCTTCCCATTTTCGGATAGCGAAGTACCGATCCTGATGGAATGAGTACATCAATTGCGGGTCAGACTCCGTCGGAAATCGGGATTTCGGCAGCCAACCTTTCTGGCCATGGAAACAGGGTCTGTGAGAAGTGATCAAGTCATAAGGTTCATATCCAACATTTTGGGAGTCCATTACACAGTTTTTTTTGGCACATGGAATTCCCTTGTTGGCAAAATCATATGTTGATATTCATCATCAGAAACTGCATGTTTGGAATATTGATTTTCAGTGACCAACACATAGATCCGGACACGGAGATAAAAGATGCATTTATTTGAGGGTTGCCAGAAAACATCCACACTGTCTTGCACCAAATCATGCCACAAGCTGATTCCCCCAGTTATGTTACTTGCTTTATAACCCAATCTAACGAACTAGTCTTTTCATTACCACAAACTGTTGACAGTGAAATACAAGTGAGTCAAGTGAGCCTTACCAAGGGAAGCACCTTCCATGGCAGGTTTGCTTCATTGCCAATGACTGGCAAACTGGAATGCTACCTGCTGGGCTCCCAGATGGTGGTCGATGAAAATCCGGTGTTCTTTAAGGATCGACTTCAGGAGCCCCAGAATCTGGATAATAATTGATGGAAAAATGATGAAAGCTGTTGAAACCTAAAGCCCCTTCAATATGGAACATACATGAGCGACGGCTCTTATTTGCGAATATGGAAAGTAGTATTCGGGCGTACCCCTGTTTGTCAAAAACATCATATTTAGCCTGTAAAACGAGGTAGGAACACCCCGAGAACGAGGTAAGCATTTCATGTTCAGCATTTAGCTTTGATGAAATCAAGATGTATCAGTGAGTGTCTGAGTCCTGGCCGCATAGAGTGCGTTGCCTATATTAATGCAGCCGTTTCGGCACGGGGAAGAGGAAGATGGCCCGAAAAAGGCAGCGGGTCAGATTCGATTCAAGGACAGGGATCCAATGTCTCAATGGTTGGAAATTTCATCAGTGGGTTGAACTTGCGGAACTTGGCCATTTTGCCGTGCCAGATGCCAGAAACATCACTGTGAGATTGCAGGAGCGGCAAATGGCAAGCTTTCCGTGTGGCGCCGGGCGGCTGTGACAAAAAAACATCCTTCCACACCAACGAAGCAGACGCATGGGCATGGCTTCTTATCTTTGCGGACAGGCCGACCGTATTGGATATTCCAGAGCCATTTCGCTATTTGGCTTCCAAGGAGTGTGGGGGCAGCTTTCGGTGATGAACCGAGGGACTGACGGGCTGGTGTGTCTGCGTGTGTGTGTGTGTGTGTGTGCGTGGGTGTGTGTGTGTGTGCGTTTGTGTGTCTGTGTGTGTGCGCCTGTGTGTGTTGTCGTGTTTCTATGTCTGGTTTTGTCGTGTTTCCTTCTTTTCCCTTTTCTTTCCCCCTCCTTGGTTCTTGTTGCTCCCCACCATCGGAATCGGGTGCATGGTCGCTACAGCTTTGAGAAGGCAATAGCCACTGTTCGGCGGCAACCAGAGCGAAGAAGACGACGCAGACGAATCAATGCAGATCGATCCTCTTCGTCTTCATCGTCCGGTTCCAGCACGGATTCTGATGAGTCGTCAGTGAGTGTGTGAAAAACAAGTGCGGCGTTGGAGAACGAGGTCAGACCCCAAAAAACGTTACGGGACTGGAGAACGAGGTAGGCACACCCCGTCAATTGCGTTATGTAATGTTATGTAACAAATATGGTTCGCAACTCACATAGTAAAAACAAGGGAAACCATGTATTGATTGGTTTTTACCAAGTATTTTACCATGAATTCCCATTTAAACCAAATACTGTTTAAACCTATCTAAATCAGCACGATATGTGTTTGAACCATGGTTCCTGGTGATCAAGTCAGCTGCGCTGAGGTCTACTTAAACTACAAGTACAAGCGGAACCGGACCTACCACAAGGCAGGAGTCAACGGGACAAACGAATCAATCCTTAAGTTGATACCATCTTAAAAACACATCAAGGGAATCCTCAAATTTGGAAATTTCAATTGTTGGGTTCAGAATGGTTATAGCATTGTGTTGATAAAGCAATGCCACAAACCTCTTATATTTTCTTGGTTTTGTACCATCTACGGTAAATTTGGGGGATGGTTTGCCACTCCCTCTCAAGGGGCCCTTCATTTGTCCCTAACTTGTAGAGTTCCAATACTAAGGGTGGGTTGATTTATACACCAAACATATTGTGTAAATGTGGGATTAGCCTTAAATGTCATACGCCATCCCCAAGTCATCATCTTTCGGTTTTCCAACCCCAAGTTTGGTCGGTTTATGGCAGCCAGGGTTGCCCACATTATATAAATATCACCTCTCAAAATACCGGAATGAATCATCTAGAAATTCAGAGATTCTCTCTTGCCTTTTCGGAAACCTTGCATGTTTTTTTCTTCAAACATGGCTGTAAATGTGCTATATTAATTTAAACCTCACCAGGTAAATCTCAGGTTGATCAATATGTTCTATTAGTTTACCATTATAGTAAGCCCCTGCTAGAAAAGTATATCATCCTTATTTTTGTGGGACTTTACCATATTTTTTTTGGGGGTTACTCTAAAGTTGCCATGAATGGTCGAGTTTTTTTTTTTTGCTGCGAGGCACGATGCATGATGGTCCTCCACAACATGGGCTATCAGGGCAGCTCAGATGCACGTTGCAGGATTTGAATGGATAGAACATGCAGGGAAAATGATGCTGAACCAGTGATTAAGCAGTGATTTTTTGATTTTTACCAGTGTTGAAGCAGTGATTAAGAAGTGATTAACTAGAGATTACCTAATGACTAAGCAGTGTTTAACCAGTGATTCACCTGCAGTGGATGTACCCTATTTCTAGATACCAAAGCCAGTAAAATGAAGTTGAGCAAAACTGTTCCCCTATTTTTCTCTTCGCACCCCAGAAGCTATGATGAAACTTTAGCATGTCCCATAGGATCCATGGTGCTGCTATATATGGTAACATGGACCCCATCAATATACCCCAGTCATGTTAGCATATATACAAGCACCATGGATCTGTCATGGGTGTTGATGAAACTTAGCTCTCACTGCCCCACGTTGGATCCCGACCCATCACCAAGATCACCAAGGCAAGTACAGGATGAGTTCCTTCCCCGTGGACAGGCGCGAGCGCAGCGTGGATAGAAGGACCAATCGCAATTCGAAGCGGATTTCTGATAACCATCAGTCAGCACGGATGTTTGAGTACATATATATATATATATATACACATACATGCATATATATATATACGATATATATATATATATATATGTATGTATGTATATATATTATTGTATATATAAATATATATTTGTATATATATATATATTATTGTATATATATATATATTATTGTGTATTTATTAACAGAATCGTACGGATTTTTGACTAACATGACAACCAGAACAATCATCCATGGGGATAACCTTCAACCCAACCGCCCATGGAGGACCGGATCGTCATGCCATGCGACCAGGTTCTTCGGCCTTCCCTACGAAGCCGTGCAGGATTTGCAGGGAGAAGACCTGAACTTCGGGCAGGACTGGGTACGGAAAAACCTTGGGAAACCATTGGTTTTCTACATCTGTGAAAACGTTTGCCCTTTGTTGATATATGGTGATGGCAAATCTGTGGCGATTTGGGATATGGATATGTGTGTTGATGATTTGGGTATGGGTATGGGTCAAATAGCCTGATCAGTACCCTAGTAAGCACCAAAAGAGCTGAATTCTCTGGATTTAGAAAATCAAAATATCCTCATTGATGTTTGGTAAAACGATAGGTTTTGATTCATTCCCATACGATTGGGAGTAGGAAATCACCATTTCTGTGGAGAAATCCAGGCTATCCAGAAATCCAGAAGTGAAGTCCATCGAACTCAGAGTGGTGAAATCTATGTCATCTATGTGCTTCTTGGTTGATTGATAATGCTACCATCCTTTGGTTGCAAAAATCTGCACCGGATCAGATTCAGCGAAGATCAAGATCAAGCAAGTTTCACATATGAAGTTAGCGCCCAAAATAATGGTGCCCCGTAGTTGGCCGAAGATATCATGATACACACATTATATGTGTATACCCTCTGGTAATTGATCATAGCTATTGAACATACTCCATTTAGTTCGTTGATTTCGCCATTCAACGAGAGGTGATTTTCCCATGGCTGGCTGTTACCAGAAGGATGGGCAGCTACGGCTGCCTCCATTTGGTTCGGGGATAGCGGGCCATGGTATGAAAATGTATGAAATACCGTTTAGGGATGTTTAGGGTATTTATTTCAGTGTCCACCCTTTTGTAACAAAACGACAGCATTTTGGGAAGATGGTTGATCAGTTTTTCAGAGGGACACAAAGTGATCAGATCTAGGTCAACATTGAAACATTAACCTTGACACAGTTTAAACAAGGACCTGGAAGTTCTGGAGCAAGTTGGCTGAATACCATGGTCTTATTATTCAGTTCCTATCTCTTCCGGATTAGACCCTGTGGTTAGATCCTCCAGTGGTCACGGCTACTTAGATAATTCCTCAAGTTAATAAGTGCCCCCTCCCAATTCTAAGTTGGTTTCCAAACCCATGTTCCTACCGATATATCTCCCATAAACCCTAGCTGCTCACATATGCTTTCAGACATGATGTAACCTGGCCCACGTGGTTAAAATACAGTGTTTGTTTAACATTGTTTAACATTGTTTAACATTGTTTAACATTGTTTAACATTGTTTAACATTGTTTAACATTGTTTAACATTGTTTAACCATATTATCTTAATATTATTGAGTATTGACTATACATATCATACGATATATGCATGTCGTGTATATATATATATATATGTATTACATACATACATACATATATATATATATGTATTTGTCACAACATATATATATGTGTATATATATGTATATATATATACTGGTTGGTGGTTTGGAACATGAATTTTATTTCCCAAATAGTGGGAATGTCATCATCCCAACTGACAAACTCATATTTTTCAGAGGGGCTCCGCCAGGACTGCGTCAACCTCCTTGGGGCGGGCGTCCGACGGGCCGACCGCGTGCTGCCGGGCGCCCCCAGGGCTACCGCCAAGGGGCGATCCACCGAACTGGAGATACATATGGATGATATATACATATATATATATATAGCTAATAAAGCTAATATAGCTAATTAATAATATCATATACATATTAATATGTGTGACATGAATGGGATATTAGTGGTGATATATGAGTGGTGATATCATATACGGGATATGAATGGTGATATTTACAACCAATATGAAGATAGTATGGGAAATATTACCGGGATATAACCCATATAGTATATATGACTAATAAAGGCTAATAATAATATACATATACACATGGAATTTCCTTGGTGATATATTTCTATATATATGTGTCGGTCATTATGTGTAGCCAACAATCACGGTTGTTTTTTATGGGAATATCATGGGAATATAACAAAGTATGATTGGAATATCACTCATTTTGATTTAATGTTAGGATAATGTTATTGGGTTCCTATCGCTAACTGTTTTAATCTGGAGATGTTTCTGGAGCTAAAACATAGGAATATGATGGGGAATATCATGGTGAATAGATATATGACAATGATGGAGATATCATGCGGGCAGAATAGAAACCAACACAGTGGATATAAACATGTCGGATGTAATGGGATACACGTATGAATGAGGATGGGAAACCAAGAGAAGAGGGACACAAATGGAGAGGTACCAAGCAACAATGGGGATTTAATGGGATATGAATGGATATAAACGACAAACATTGGGATGTTGCATGTCTGTAGCACAAGACATGGGATATGATTTGGGTATATCAACTGTAATGATCAACAATATTATTGCGACATGGGTATAAAATTGTCGATTTTTCCCCTATATCAACCCAACAATCAACGGTCACAGATGGTCACAGTCATGGGCATATGATTTGGGAAACATTCTGGCGGGATTTCACCTGCAGTTTCCTGCTGGGAAGTGCCAGCAACGACACCACTGCTTTGCCACTAGTCCATACCACCGAGAACAGTTCATCCACGGGGGTTCGAATCAGATGGTTCGGTAGTTGCCATATTGCCATAGTCAAGTTATATATGAGCAACTGGTTGGTGGTGACTGGAACCATGTAATTTTATGACTTTCCATATTAATTGGGAATGGAATAATCATCCCAACTGACGAACTCATATTTTTCAGAGGGGTTGAAACCACCAACCAGATATAATTTCATATAATATATATTTAGCAAACCCAAAATAGATGCTATGTTAGTTTACCAGAGGGTATTCAACATCTGGTGCTTTTACAGACAGAGCATTAGGTAATTATTGGGCTGATGGCCCCCTTGATTTTGTTTCCGAAAAGACGACAAGATATGACAAGGGCACAGACCTTTGAAACACAACGGAATGGTTTCACATGTTGGGAGTTTCTATCAACGGTGTGCTTATATAATCAGGGAAGCAAAGACCAGGCCTAGATCAGTAGGGTCTAGATCGGTGTATATAAGAGCTTTTGGTGTAGATATGAATCATTGATGCAACCAACGCTGGAATTCGGACACACACACAAATTAATTACACGTCCTTCCAATTCTGGATTTGCATGTCTTGGGCAGGAGTTGCACAACACTCAAACCCCTTAAGTCATGAGTTGTCTTCTCAATTGGATAGATCCTGGTGTTTGCAAAACATATTATATAAGAGTGATATGTTCTCACCACGATGCGAACAAGACAATCAACGCCGTAAATCCAATCTTGAACCCCAAGTTGCTATGTTTTTCAACAAAATCATAATCCATAAAGGATAAGTCATTGGAGTTTGGTGTTGTGGTTTTAGGCTTTCAACAGCATGATACTTCCGTTCTTCCCGAGGACAGTGTCGCCCAACTATGCTTTCGAAATTCAGACGCCGGAAGGTGGGATTTAAGCCATGGTCTATTGCAGCGAGAAGCCAATGGTTACCATGGTGAACTGGGAAGATGTTTATATAATACCCATATGCTCCATATATATGGTATATTTACCTACATTTGGGTGATTTTTAGAGTATATAAATGTTGGTAAATATACCATACATGGAGCATCTGGGATATGGGTGATGCGAATCAGATGCTGTAGATGTTGTCCTGAACTGTGCTGAACATCTTCGACAACGCGCGGCGGTTCAAGCTTGCGCAGCGAATTCGGAAACACCGAAAGTGGTTGCTGTGGATAATTTTTGCCACATCTTCTTTCACCGTAGATTCTTTGAAACGCGTAAAGATCATATGAAGAAAACCATGTTGAAATTAGGGGTCAGAAGCCAGCATGATTTTCCAGTCTTAACATGTCTTAACCAACAATGGAAATTCTGTCAGCGAACTGCTGGGCCAGAGCTGGCTCCCTACTCAGCTGTCAACATGGTGAGATGGAAGCTGTACCTTTGCGGTCAGATGCTGCCGTTTACTTTGCTGGTTGCAACTGTTTTGTTGGCAGCTTGGAAGCACTCCGGATATGGCAGAAACACTGCAGAAACTGTAAACATTGTCTTTGGCCACTGTTTCAGATTGGAATGGCTAGAAATCGGTTTCAGGCTGCCCGCGGGTCATTCATGGTCATTCTGTCTCATGCAGAATCACCTTAATTTGTGATTCCCAGATCCTCAAAAAATCATCATGTTTGTATATCTTTGTCATGTTTGTGTTGGCTAATGGAAGAACACTGGTCCAGGTTAAATCTTTTCACCCTGGCAGGCAACCAGGTTACCTTCCGAGTGGATCCAATGTCAAATCCACGGAAAGCATGGCCACAACGTCACGAAGTGCACACGTCCCATCCCCGCCAGAGAACAGACGCCGCAGCTGGGTCCTTTCACAGGTTGGATGGGAAATGCGGGTCGAATTGCGGCGATTGCGGGTCAAAATTTTCATGAAACATGATGAAACATGGAGGGACATGTCGAAAAATCATGGAGTTACAGTATAGTTACAGTTTACAGTCAGATAATAGTCAACGATTGGATTAAATTGGCTTGATCAAGAATTAAACACTGATGATTCATATCTGGATGAATACATCCGTGAAACACAGTGCTATGACAATCGGAAACTGGAGCTATGACAACATGACCCTCCCCGGACTGGAGCCAGTTTACAACCGGTCGGATCTTTCACCAACAATTGCGTGACCCCGATTGGTATTTTTTCCGATGGGGGAAGGCTATATGTCATTTTATGGTTGAACAGTTCATTAATATATATATATATATATAATACAATATATATGTACATTATATATATAATATATATAATACAGTATAATATATATATATGAAAATATGTTTTTGAGGTTCAACAACCCTTACAGCGTTTCTGTCTTCAAAACGCAGCGATCTGCCGCAATTTTTGCTCGCCTCGGGGTGGGACATGTTTATACACCATTGAAACGTCACGGGTCAGGGGTGGGAGGTGGGGGTGGGGAGGGTCAAAGATACATTCTTTACATAAAGAAGGGTTTTGCTGATGTCGGTCGCTTCTGCATCTTTCTTCTTTTTTGACCCGTGGCCACACCCAACGTACCCCTGACGTATCGTCTAAGATAACTAGATGTAATGTTAACGTCGATGAATGTACATGAACCTTAATACCCCTGACGTAGATCCGTCTGCATAAACAAGATCAGGAGGCTAAGGGCGCTCAAAGAAGTGGATTTCCATTTTATTTCATTTCAACTTTGGGCTTCAAGTGTTGGGTTCACCAATTTCATTTGATGTCGAAAGGTGATTAATTATGTTTTGGAACTATCCTGTAATATGTTGATGGCTAAAGTAGGCACTATTTTTATTTTACTGGGTGTTGACTGCGGTTGGGTCACCCAACCCCACCCCACCCCACCTGAACACATCGAAATTCAACTGCAGGGACCTGACCCATCTATTTTTTTCAATTATGGCTGAGTAGGTCAAACAGCCTTTTCCAGAGTTTCCTAAGGGCTAAAGCTCCTTGGATTCTGAGGGGTTGGAACCATTGTTTTATTTTTGCATGTTTTATTGTAGCTAAAACAGATTGGGCCAGCAACATATTTCACAGCCCTTACCCAACCTGGTCGGTATCAGGGCTCTAAAATTATGGCGTAAAATTACCACTTTTAGTGGATACTTGCAGGTTCTAAATTGAAAATCTGATAGCACTTGGCTAGCATTGCTTAGTGTCACGTGGTTCAATCCTGTTGCAGTTACAGTTTCCCAACTGCAACTAGGGTGAAGAACTAGCGGCATTTGCACGTGACAACCACACTTCTTTTGGTGAAAAAAATAAGTGATAAACTGATAAACACAGTTGTTGAGTTGTTTCCCAAATGATAAAGATACCATTTGGTAATTTAACTATAACGAGGTGGAAAACCAGCATGTTTGATAGCAAATCATCTATTATTTTCCATATTTCCTGGTATAAATCATCTAAAGTCGTGGGCAATTTTCCTTTTTTTACTGGAGAAGTATCTATTAATTTGTCATATTTTCCCATGGTTACATATTTTATCTTACGGTAAAAGGTGTGTTTTTTCCCGTGTTTTCCAGGTGTGGCGAAGACGGTGAACGACGTGGTGGCCACATCTGGACCGTTGTGGCCCTACCTGGTGCTCTTCATCCAGGCGGGAGTTTTGTTGGGAAAAAACGCCAAAAAGCCTGGTAACTGGTAACTTGGGGGGGGTTCACATGGGTTGATCCAGCTATACCTTCTTAGTGTTTGGGCGATTTGGGGGGTGATTTGTAGCTTCGAAGGCTTTTTTAGACCCATAGGGATGGGTGAATGGGATAAACACAATGTGTTGAAGACCTGTTAAAAAAATGGAGGTGAACCTAAATCTAAACATATGGGGATTGATCAATTTTGATGGCATGGCCACAAGTTGGTACAGAGTTCACGAAACTCACTTGGGCCGTTGGTACTGAAGGAACTAGTGGGGTGAAACTCAACCAGCAAACATAACTGTGACCACGTCCTAAGCAGCCAGGATGGTGAAATCAAAAGTAAAATTGGGAATTCAACGAAAAAACATATTGACATATTAGTTCTACCATTTTCTGGATAGAATCCAAGAATCATCCAAGATACGGGAAAAAAACAACAAATTCATGGGGATACTCTGACTGGTGCACCCAACTTTACATCGTGACCCAAAATCACCCCAAATCCGTATTTCTGACGGGCAAACGCGTGGATCGCAACCATTGGGTTTTGAGAGCCAATTTGGAGACATGCATGGAACCCAACTGTTGCCTATCCGATGTGGTACAGTAATTGTAGATCTTCGGGATGCAGCCATGAAACTCATGATGGGTTTCAACACGCAGACATTGTAGGCTGACCATTTTTGGAGATGTTCACCATGTGGGTTTTTTTCACTGCGCGCAGCATGCAGAGCCTGAAGGGTGCTCACGACTTCTGACTCCTCAATATCCGGTGGTGCCCTATAGTTAGCAAAATTGGTTTCATGTGGCAAACTCAATAGTAAGCCGCACCATCACCATAATTGTAGTTTTCCAACCATCCCCAAATGGTAGGTTTATTGTTGGGTTGCCAATATTGTAGCTTATACCATTTGTTATAAACCTATCATTTGGGGATGTCTCAACTTCGTTAATCATTAGAAACCAACTTTACCATCATTACACTATATATAAACCAACTTAATTAACAGACATGTTCGCAGCTCGCTCGGTGTCCCGCGGTGAGGTAATTGATCACGAATTGGAGGAATTGCCAAAAGGTTCCAAGAGGTGGCAGCTTGTCGTCGAAAAACTGTCGCGACTTCAGACTGCTTAATGGGATAATCATGCTGTATATTTAGTCAGTTTAAAACCGCAGTTTTGAATAGTTTTGAATACTTAATGGCTAATTGTTCTTAATAGTCAATGGTAACCCTAGGCTGGTTGGATGGGTAAACCATCATCAAATAGAGTGATGCAATGGGATATTTTAATCAATGGGAGCTATAGGTGACCAATAACAAAAATACCGTCCCCCGTTCCTTTTAGTTGCACCCCACCATAGTTACCAATATGTTTCCATGTTTTTTTGAATGTTCCCTTTAGAAACCACAGATGACTGGTAGCCTTTAAAGAACATGGGGGATTCCAAAGGGCCAGGAGTTTTATTGATCAAGAATCGAGGAGGCTATCTGGGATAAACGGTCTGATAATCTGTGATCATTACTTGCTGGTTGGTGTTTTGGAACATGAATGGATTATGACTTCCATACATTGGGCATGGAATCATCATCCCAACTGACGAAGTCATATTTTTCAGAGGGGTAGGTCAACCACCAACCAGTGATACGTTCAGTTGTGGAGAGCCAAAAAGAGCGAGAGAGAGAGACTCTGGTGCCTCACAGCCAATGACCAAAGTCTGAGTGAAGTCACGTCAGCAGTTCTAGAGAACTGTCAGCCACCTTCATTTGGCCTCATCCAATCCTTCTGGATTCCAGTTCAATGATTGATGGTTCCAAGAGCAACTTCATGATACAAGGTGGTGCCCGTCGGTTATAAGTTGCTTTGTAAATTCCATTAAGTATAGATTTATAATTCTGGTTGGTGGTTTGGAACATGTTTTATTTTTCTTCCATATATTGGGAATAATGAATCCAATTGACTATTTTTCAGAGGGGTAGGTCAACCACCAACCAGTATAATTAAGATGTACCATAAACCATATAGATTCCATATTAATGGGTAAATTTATATTAATTTACCATATAAATTCATATTAATTTACCATAAACCATAGTGATAAGATTTCCTATAAGGTAAATTTATTTCTGGTAAATTCCATGTGAACGATGTGGGGTATCCTATGTCATCCTGTTGTTGAACCGGGGCCACTCACCTGGAATACACCATGGATATCTTAGGATGATTGGAAACGAGTTAGGTTTACATCCTACCTGTGGTTTATGGATGTTAAAACTATGCTAACACTACATTAAAGTACATTAAATTAGTTGTTTATGGTAGGTATATCGAACTACATGGAAAACTACATCTCGATGTAGTTAAACCCGAGGATCATGGGCATCTTCGTCATTGTGACGCTGCTGAGAATGCTGTGCTTCTATCTCATGACTGCGGCAATTCCTGGAATGTGGAAAGCTGGTAGTGTGGTAGTCATACTCCATGTATGATACACAGAGTATGAAATATGGTATGTTATGTAATGACATTGATTAATATTGAGAATTGTAGCAATACTTAATTTGGGTTGAAGTCAAGGCTGTTTGGCGGTTTCAACGACAGTTGGGTGTTCCTTGTGGATTCAATGCTGCACAGGGCGATTCCACGCTGGCGGGCGGTATTTTCACAGAACCTGAAGTTGATACATAGATCTATAGTAGTATACATAATACATACACCTTTTTTGTATATTATGATGTATATATGTGTTTGTCTGACAACAGGGTATCCAAACTTCCAATGGATTATCCCCTATGTTCAAAGCCATATATCATATCAAGCTGATTCGATATCACTATGTTCCCATTACATATTTGATATACCTCATTAAGCCGCCGTTTTTGTTGGTTAAATCCATATGTGGTGATTAAAATAGATAAGAGGATACTATCCCATCATGTCCCCATAGAATGCCATATATCATTAGATGTACAACAGATATCAACTATTGTATATGGGGGTTTCCTAAAATAGAGGTACCCCCCCAAATCATCCACGTTAGTCGGATTTTCCCTTACAAACCATCCATTTTGGGGATCCCTCATTTATGGAAACCACCATATGGGTTTGTCTGAAAATAGCATCTATTTGTACGTACTGGGTGCCTGGGGGCTTTCTCAGGAGACCGTATCATCTCTATATTTCCGATCACATTGTCCTGGTGACGCTTGGATGACCGGGTTTATGTGGGCTTCCAGGAAAATGCTGGTTTTAATGGAGTTTCTACGATAGGCTTATGTCACTTGACCCAAGGAAAAGTAGCTGTTTTTTTTTCGGAATTGGGTCGATATTATCCCATTGGATCCATGATTTTTTACACAGCCATTGTTCATAGCAACCTGTTGAACAAACATGATATTGATTGGTGGCGAATAATTCCCATTATACATCATTATACCGTTGTACCATGTTGTACCATATTGTACCACTCTAATCAGATTCTAAACCATAAATCCCAGAGGCGTATCCCATCCCCATCATATTTCTTAAACATCGTCCAGCCCCTGCGAGGTGGTTTCCCCCGCATCATGGGGCCCCAAATCACCCAACAGCTCAAACCCATTAGGGATGTCCCGAAACTTCGGAAAGCTCCATATGTCCATCCCCATATAAAAATCAGCCAGAAACCCATGGCTTCGTATAGGGGACAAAATCTATGACGACCAGCAGAACGATGTGATTAGTAACACCAACTCAAAGCCATTTTTACGCGTTCCGAACCAAAAACACCATAATCATTATGATATACATAGTCTGGTTGTGGCTGGGAAACCCCCTATAGATGGAGGTTTTAATGGGAACATCATCTATAAATTACTGGCTGGTGGTGTGGAACATGAATTTTATTTTCCATAATATATTGGGAATGTCGTCATCCCAACTGACTTTCATATTTTCAAGAGGGGTAGGTCAACCACCAACCAGGTATACATATCATATTATATATGAACTATAAGCCGTTAAAGCCCCGCTCTTTCAGCCCAATGAAATAGTGGTCTAGGAGTCTAGCAACTGCATAACCACCATAACCACCCTCCGCATCGGACTCTTGTTGAGTTTCAGGACATCAATGCTGGCACAACTCCAGATTTCGCAAACCATTGGGACTGGGCCCGGCTGCAGCTATTGGTTATCCTGGGCCATCATCGTTCCATGTCTCTTTGAGGACTGCCTTCTTGTTGTTGTTGTTGTTTTTTTTTTAAATGGAGGTTTGCCCATTCCAAAAGTGCCATACAACTGGGGTGAGAGTGGGTTTGTTGATGGGACAGCCATTTGTTGAATCCGATGGTTTACCCTCTGGTAAACATACAAAAAACTATGGGAAAATCACAATTTTGAATGGGAAAATCCACTATTTCTATGGCCATATTCAATAGCTACGTTAGTTTACCAGAGGGTACCATGATTTTTGCACCCCACTGGCAACTCTGTGAAAAACTCTCCCAAAACTGTCGCTGTTGAAAGCCGCAGGCCTTTATCACAGCCTGGTTCTATCACACGAAGCAAGCTTCCTGGACCGGCTTGCTAGTAGGTTTGCTGTTTCAGCTCATCACTTTTCACTGGATCCGAAATCTCAAACCAGATCATCCGGAGCATGAGTACCATGCGATGCCCAATGGAAACAAAGCCTGAACAAGGTAAGGCCCCCCAGTTTTAAGTTGATTTATCATCCCGTTACAGTAACATCTAGTAACTATAGTTACATATAGTTACATTTAGTTACATATAGTTACTATAGTTACTATAGTTTGTAACTATAGTTACTATAGTTACAAATAGTTACTATAGCTATATTTGCCATAAATCCAGTTGCCTCACCTTAAAAATGAGCGCCTCACCTTGGGCTTGCGATGAAATCACCGGATCAACTCGACAGGTTTCCTGACCCGTTGACATCTGAATGGACGAGATTTACCGGAATTGTACCAATACTGATTATTATATGTACAATTACAGTACAATTATATGTACATATACCGGTACTGTAGATACTGTACATTTACTATATATAATACTGTAGATATACCAGTACTGTAGTATTATATTATTATACTGATAACACATATATACTGTACATTTACCGGTAAATATATATATACCAATACTGATAATACAAGATATATTAATATACCGGAATTGCACCAACATAAAAAAAGTATATATATATATATATGTTATATTATATATAGGTTGTATATGTTGTTGGTTTCGGATTGAAGTATTGTGATAAATGACAGTGGCGCAAGAAGCAAACATATTTTATGACTTCATACTGATGTTGTTGATCTACCGCATCTTCAAGATGTGTGGGTCTTGGACACACAGTGAGACTGGTTGGCGCAAGAATATTTGGTTATCTTCCAACCCGATATTTGGCAGGGTAAAGTGTTAGTTTACTGGACGGTGCCTTTTCATCTTGGATAGGGTGATTATCCCAATCGACTACTCTTCATTTGGGTATTTCAACATGTTGAGACCACCGACCGGGACACTGAAGATGTACGTCTTTTGGCCGTTGCTCATTGCGTGCGAAATGGCGAAACCGCTGGAGGGAAAATCGTCGGCAGAAGAGGTGTGTCTACATGTTGGACGACCCCAGGGATTGTACGGATCCATACATTCCATTATATCCCAATATATCCAATATCATCTCCCGTATATCCCCGAAAATCTCCAGTGCTTAAGAATCCTGAGTCCAACTAACCATCTAAGACTCTAAGATCCACATATTTCATACATACACACAAATATATATATATATATATATATTTATGTATGTATGTATGTATGTATGTGTGTATGTATGTATGTATGTATGTATGTATGTATGTATGTATGTATGTATGTATGTATGTATGTATGTATGTATGTATGTATGTATGTATGTATGTATGTATGTATAATATCACTTTGCATTTCCCGTTGCATTGCTAATCCAAAGTCCTACTGTGGATGGTTGCGAAATCCTGCACCAGTTGATAGGTGGTTAATCCCATTATAGGGTTTCAACCATCCTTTTTGTGGTGCAGGATTTCGCAACCATCCACACTATCATTGGATATATATATATATATATATTCAACTAAAACTGGATGTATATAACTAATAGATACTAATAGTGTGTATATGTATATATAGCCTCGTCCGCGCTTCTGGAACTGCGCACACCCCGAATTAGGTTGGTAAAACTTGTCAATTCCGGGAGGAAATGTTGCCCCGGAATTGACAAGTTTCATGAGGGTCGTCATCATCATCATCATCATCACATCATCATCAGCAGCAGCATTATATCATCATCATCATCATCATCATCTGCAAGTTCACATGAACGTTAACATCCCACCCCATCCCCCCCACCCCACCCCGCGTGTGCGTAGCATCAAACTGCTTCTGCAAGTCACCATGAACGTTTAACATCCCCCCCCACCCCCCCCACCCAACCCCGCGGTGTGCGTAGCTATCAACGCTTCTTGCAAGTTACATGAACGTTTACATCCCACACCACCCCCCACCCCATGGTATGTAGTTCCAGGAGGTGGGACGAGCCTATATATACTGGTTGGTGGTTTCAAACATTTTGTATTTTCCATCTCATATCTGGGATGTCATCCTTCCCATTGACTATATATATATATATGGGATAGTATCATGGGAATATTTGGGATTTGAGGGATTTCCATGGGATATGGACGTATATCCATATTGGAATATATATATATATATGGATAGATACTAATAGTGTGTGTATATACATATATATATATATATACATTAATATATGGGATATGAGGTATAGCCAACAGCCATGGTGGTTTTTGATGGGGGCCTATCCATGGGAAGATCCACCCGTTTTCCGGAGAGGTGGCCATGGCCTCCATACAGATCTCAGAGAGAAGGCTTCCAAGGGACGAGCGTCTTGGATGAAGCGAAGCGCTTGGTTCACTGTTGGGGTTTTCATAAGATTTTCATAGGAATTAATGGGATTTAAATGGGATTTTGGGATTTTAATCAGGTTTTCATAGGATTTAAGGGGATTTAATGGGATTTTCATAGGATTTAATGGGATTTTAATTGAATTTAATGGGTTGTTCATAGGATTTAATGGGGTTTTCATAGGATTTAATTGGATTTTAATTTGATTTAATGGGATTTTAATTGGATTTAATGGGGTTTAATAGGAATTAATGGGATTTTAATTGTATTTAATGGGATTTAATGTGATTTCTCTGTTTATATATCATTAATTGCGTATATATTATTCTTGGGTTTATACCATTAATGTTCGGCTTCTGTCCATTAATTGAGTTCCATGATTGTAGTAGATCAGTGGGATTTAATGAGTATACTATGATACGGAGTATGAATGAGTATGATCATTATATTGATTCATGTTTCGAACCAAAAATAAGAAATACGATCATTGTGATGCTAGATTTTGGTTATTATATTCCAGAATCTATATATGATTATAATGGTACCATTTAATGCTTAATGATTCATGTATGAATATTTCCTTTATAATATCATACATGACATGGATTATGGGATTTGATATCCATGCCTATTTAGCACAATAAGCATATAAGGATTACACGTATGATCTGCCATCGTCTCCTGTAGTCAAACATGGCAATGGACAATCCACCATTGATCGAATATTTTCCCATTAAGCCTGCATGTATATTCACATATGGATTTTATGGTTTTAGATAGAGGTAACCCATCTGCCATACATATGTTATTTTATGGTAGTCTGATTATATTGGGATTCATATCATATAATGTGATTACAATGGTTATAGTGGTAATCTAGTTGTTAATGAAATGGGACTGCGGGTTATTAGCATGTTTATAGTATATATTTGTAGTAGATATAAGCCAACAGAATCTTAGGTGATTTAATGAAATGTTGGTTCTACCAATTTATATGTAGGTAGCATTAGTTCTGATTGCATATTGATATACATGTATATATATATATACATACACATAAGTATTTATTAACCATTAACAATTAAAATACTATGTATTTAACAATGTATAACGTGAGTATTAAAACAAAAAACAAGCAGTAGTGATTAATAATTTTGTGAGTTTATGGTAGGTATATGTATAGTCAATGGGGTTAATAAACCATCAAACGAAATTAATCATAATTATTGTGATTTCATTGTGGGTTTTCTGATGGGTTCTTTTACGGGTTTCGGCGATGTGATGGCTTTTTTTAGTGATAGCATCATTATGATTCTGGGTTACCAATTATATCAATGAGCTATAATGTAACCCAGAATCATAAATAGGATAACCCAATTCCATTGTGATATAACTCATGATGAATTGGGTTCCCATACCACTGAGCTCTTATTTCATTGTGATATAACTCATGGGAATTCCAGGGAATTAAATCGAACTGGATGGGGGTTCCCCATGGGGATAGCTGAAGGTTCGCCCTGTGATCCTGGTACTGGCAATGTGGGGAGACGATCCAATGTGTAGTTTTCGTGGTTAAGCCCTGCCTTCATCCGCCAATCACTGTGGGATAACAAACGAAAAGTGGAGATGTGACGAGGATATCAATGGGGATGCGATAATTGGGGCTCTTGCCAATGTATATACTAGTTTTTTTTTCAGAACATAGCCAGATCATACCGGTAACTGCTTGGTGGTTTCAAAAGTCAGGGTTATATAGATATGAATGGTTGTATGGGAGGTCAGACAGGGTTTATTGATGATCTCACCATCAAACAAGCAAACAAGAGTACGTGTCACCCATTAAAACAAGAATACCATTACTGTAAATATTATAGACCGCAACACAAACATATAAAACTATTAATAGTATATTGCATATCACAAAAAAAACATATATATATATATATACATATCAACATATATCACTATTACATTATTCATCACCAGATATTATGTCACCAATAAATTCGTTTTGACTTTATCCAATCCCATCGTCCTACAACCTTCATCCAAATGCCAAACCTCGAATTGCGTAGAATGCAAATCTTCGGTAGAACCCAATGGTTGACAAATTTTTGGATATGAAAAACATGGTTGTTTTCTGAAGAAGAAAGGGGACTTGTATATTCACCAGCTGAGCAACGCAATTGTTTCCATGTATTTTCCATGTATATCTAGATCAGCTGAACAGCAAAATTGTTTTCATGTATATCTGGGGTTGGCAATGATACATTACATGTAGCCATGACTTATTTTTGCTTGTAGCGATGCCACTTGGTTAAAGGTGTGCAGGGTCGGTCATATCCATCGTTTGATTTTTGTCCGAAATCACAGGAAAAAAACAGATGTGGATTCGAAACAATGGGGTATTCCCAGACTTGAAACTAATAGTGTATTCCCAAGTAATTTTCCCAGACTATTCTGGTTGGTGGTTTCAAACATTTTTTATTTTCCATAAAAATATCTGGGATGTCATCGTTCCCATTGACTAATATTTTTTCAGAGAGGTTGAAACCACCAACCAGATTATTATTAACCATCATTAACCATATAATAACCATATATTAACCATATATATTCAAGATGGTTATTGCACCACCAACCAGTATTTTTCATCATCCATTTTTTACCCAGCGCTACTCGTATCAACCAGCGACAGGTCATGGGAATACTGAACGGCATCTCGGATGAGTCGGGAACCTCAGCGACTCGCAGTTGGCTGCCACTATCTGAAGAAAATGTGTTTCTTTTCGTATAGAAGTATATATATATAAATATATTTACGTATGTATATATATATATATAAATAGATAATATACATATATATATAGGTTCTATATTTATATATATAGGTTATATATATAATATAAATTATATATAGTGACATTGTACACTTTTAGGATCAATTAGGTTTTTGGCGCGGATTTTCTCGTTGAACTTGATCTTAAGCAACAAATAGGATTGTGGGATGCGTCCACCAAGCAATGTGTGAACCAATACACAAGTTGTGGCGATATCGGCAAACATACATTGGGGATGATTGATGCACTTAAACATTGAAAGCGTGACGTGTCTGGAGGTACTGTACCTATTTTTAAAGAGACCAGATGTTTGGTTTTCAGTCACCTCCAAAGTTCCACGTTAATGCATCCCTAACGGTCCAGGTGGCTTCATTCTGGAAGCTCAACAGACCATATCTTTTCAGGCAGCAATCAAGGGAAAATTGAAAGCGGAAAACCCCCAGTGAAGATGTTCCCAACAAAAACCAATCAATTAGTTATACCCCACAAAAAATTGGTGTTATCCGTAGGTTATGATATCCTAATAGTCATCCCCAATCATATTGGATGTGATATATATATAATCAGTTATATGATATAACCCACTGATTAGTCCGATAAACTCCGTGGAACCAATCCATTGAACCAACCACACCCAGGTGGAACCCTTCCACGGATCCACACATTGTGATGAGCCGGGAGCTGAGCTTCTGGGTGATCAGATGGTATAAGCCATAAGATATGAGAATTATTGTACCATTTGATATTATGATATTAGCCATAAGATATTATTATAAACCATGGTTTTATGGTTTAAGATGTTATCATGTGATAATAGGGTATCATTATCATCGCCAATGGTGTGTACTGTATTATCACATGATAATTACTTTAAATAATTTTGAATACATCTTTTTTTTGATCATTTAATATATATATATGCGTTATATCATTGAAGCTTATTACTTATCAACATTTTCATGGGTAAATTGTAAGAATACTGATGCCCTCCGGTAATCATACATGGAGCATGATAATTCACCATTTATAGATTATTTTCCTATTAAACCCGTAATTCTATAGGGAATGTTCAATTGCCCGCGCTTGATTACCGCAGGGTATAAATATACTTATACAATCAACAGTATTAATAGCTGGTTGGTGGTTTCAAACATTTTTTATTTTCCATAATATATGGGATAATCCTTCCAATTGACTAATCTTTTTCAAGATGGTTAAAACCACCAACCAGTTACAAACTTGGATTTTCATGACTCATATAGGTTTGTCTTAAATGTGAGTATCAATAAAACAAGATAAACGGTGATAAAGTGTGCCCGGGCCCTAGCCATTTTGGGAATTACTGATATTGGGTTTCGGTGGTTCTTTTTTTCCCACATGTCTTGTTTTTGTGGTTCTTTCTTTTTCCGCATGTTTTGTTTGTTTTGGTGCTTATGTTTTCGCAGTCATGTTCCCCAGTGTTTGGTACCAAGTTTGTATCAATTCCTCTCACGTTTGGTGGCAAGAGGAAAACCTGCTGGTAAGCAAACATAGCAATGGAGCGTCCCCAGTTGTCGATTTAAATTGCCAGAGGGGTACCAGATTTCAAACCATAGCTGTTTGGAGACGAGTCCAAAAAAAAAAACCTAACACCATCCAACACCAGAATTTCATTTTGAATCTTTTTTGGCACAACTATTCTGTCCATTCAGATCTTGTTTGGGTACCTTCTAATCATCCAACAGCCATTTCCGAAGAAAAAAACATATGGTATCCTATATGGCTGCTTGTATCCCAGCACATGGGAGATACAAAAAACATATGGTATCCCATGGGGGATATGTAAATCGAACAGCAAATCTCAATCCCTTTGTATCCCCCATGATCCATCCGAGGATATGAAAGGGATAACTTTGAAGAAGGCAAGCGCTGCTGCAAGGCGCATAGTTCCGTGATCCGTCCTGGTTTCATCCCAGTTTGTATAGTTTAGATAATACCTTACTATACTTGTGATCTAGTACACTCATGTACACTCTAATTTCATGTACTTCCTCTATACTACACTCTAATCCTATCTTACCAAGGTATACCTACTATTGTGAAATGTTCTGGAATTGATGTAATTATCGCATGGAAATTCCATAAATATCATTGGTAAAAGAAAACATGCAATTGGCTCGATGGTTATTTTCCCTCCAGTAAACTAACAAAAAGATATGGACAATCCAAAATGAAGGAATGTAGATCACTGGACATCCATGGATTCCATAGCGAACTGTTCGTTGGAGCATTTTATCATCATCAACATCCAAAAAGCCATGGAAATTAGGATATTTTTATGGTTGTAATAGGAGATTCATAGGATTACACCCATTATAATATTTGGTTGGTGGTTTCAAACATGAATTTTATTTTCCATTTCATATATGGAATAATCCTTCCCATTGACAAATATTTTTCAGAGGGGTTGAAACAACGAACCAGGAATTGTGTGCACCAACTGAGCGATTCCGAACTGCAGCACCACCTTGTTCATGGGAACATGAACAAAAAAAACATGGCGGAATAGATAGAGTTGGAGTATCAATGGGATATATTATTCACTATTATTCATATACTGTATATACATATTTAAGTAAATATATATGTGGCTTCTACTCGCGATGGATGAAACCAAACGTTTCTCATATATACTATTGATCCCATATTCATTGTTAATTAATTACACCACCGATGAAATATCCATCAACAGATGGTTGAGTGACATTAAATTGACATTCCTACAGTATTTTTCTTAGTTGTGGCCCTTGGTGCAAGGTCAGCGTTCGAGTTACTAGTATTTCCTGTCACTCCTGGGTGACCGAATTGATGGCATGTTCTTGCGCACCTGATGGGTCTTCAACGGCTTCAGGAAGCCTTTCACAAGGATATCTATAATTATATATATACAATATTATATAACTAGATAATATATATATATAATATACATGTAGCCCTTGGATCCCTTTGGTAATTCAAGAATGTGTGATGGAAGTCATCACCATGTTTGGTAATGTTGACACCGGATTAATAAACCCCCCCCCTATAGGTCAACTAGGTCAACAAGGTCCAGTGAGGAGGTCCAAAAACCGAACCCCCCAAATAATGTGACCATTCATTCATCCATAAACGATTATTATAAGATTCCTATGGGAAAAGATTGGAAAACCTATGGTAAACAATCAAATTCCTATGGAAACATTAGAAAATTATTGATAAATCATCAGATTCCTATGAGAAAAGGTAAGAAAACCTATGGTAAACCATCAGATCCCTATGGGTTTCTCATAGGAATCTGATGGTTTATCATAGGTTTTCTGATCTTTTCTCATAGGAATCTGATGGTTTATCATAGGTTTTCTCATCTTTTCTCATAGGAATCTGACGGTTTATCATAGATTTTCTCATCTTTTCTCATAGGAATCTGATGGTTTATCATAGGTTTTCTTATCTTTTCTCATAGGAATCTGACGGTTTATCATACGTTTTCTCATCTTTTCTCATAGGAATCTGATGGTTTATCATAGATTTTCTCATCTTTTCTCATAGGAATCTGATGGTTTACCATAGGTTTTCTCATCTTTTCTCATAGGAATCTGATGGTTTACCATAGGTTTTCTCATCTTTTCTCATAGGAATCTGATGGTTTACCATGCGTTTTCTCATCTTTTCTCATAGGAATCTGATGGTTTATCATGGGTTTTCTCATCTTTTCTCATAGGAATCTGATGGTTTATCATAGGTTATCCAGTGAGGAGGTCCAAAAACCGAACCCCCCAAATAATGTGACCATTCATTCATCCATAAACGATTATTATAAGATTCCTATGGGAAAAGATGGGAAAACCTATGATAAACCATCAGATTCCTATGAGAAAAGATGAGAAAACCTATGGTAAACCATCAGATTCCTATGAGAAAAGATGAGAAAACCTATGGTAAACCATCAGATTCCTATGAGAAAAGATGAGAAAATCTATGATAAACCATCAGATTCCTATGAGAAAAGATGAGAAAATCTATGATAAACCATCAGATTCCTATGAGAAAAGATAAGAAAATCTATGATAAACCATGAAATTCCTGTGAGAAAGGATGAGAAAACCTATGGTAAACCATCAAATTCCTATGAGAAAAGATAAGAAAACCTATGGTAAACCATCAGATTCCTATAAGAAAAGATGAGAAAATCTATGATAAACCATCAGATTCCTTTAAGAAAAGATGAGAAAACCTAGGATAAACCATCAGATTCGAATGAGAAAAGATGAGAAAACGTATGATAAACCATCAGATTCCTATGAGAAAAGATGAGAAAACCTATGATAAACCATCAGATTCCTATGAGAAAAGATGAGAAAACCTATGGTAAACCTCAGATTCCTTGAGAAAAATGAAAAACGCATTGGTAACCAGCAGATTCCTATGAGAAAAAGATGATAAACCTAGGGTAAACCATCAGATCCTCCTATAGAAAAGAATGCGAAAACGCATGGTAAACCATCACGATTCCTATGAGAAAAGAGGAAAACCTATGTGAAACCATCAGAATTCCTATGAGAAAAGATGAGAAAACTATGGTAAACATCAGATTCCTAGAGAAAATGATTAAATCTATGATAACCATCAGATTCCTATGAGAAAAGATGAGAAAATCTATGATAAACCATCAGATTCCGATGAGAAAAGATGAGAAAACCTAAGATAAACCATGAAATTCCTATGAGAAAAGATGAGAAAACCTATGGTAAACCATCAGATTCCTATAAGAAAAGATGAGAAAATCTATGATAAACCATCAGATTCTTTTTTGGAAAGATGAGAAAATCTATGATAAACCATCAGATTCCTTTGAGAAAAGATGAGAAAACGTATGATAAACCATCAGATTCCTATGAGAAAAGATGAGAAAATCTATGATAAACCATCAGATTCCTATGAGAAAAGATGAGAAAACCTAAGATAAACCATCAGATTCCTATGAGAAAAGATGAGAAAACCTATGGTAAACCATCAGATTCCTATAAGAAAAGATGAGAAAATCTATGATAAACCATCAGATTCCTATGAGAAAAGATGAGAAAACGTATGATAAACCATCAGATTCCTTTGAGAAAAGATGAGAAAACGTATGATAAACCATCAGATTCCTATGAGAAAAGATGAGAAAACCTATGGTAAACCATCAGATTCCTATGAGAAAAGATGAGAAAACCTATGATAAACCATCAGATTCCTATGAGAAAAGATGAGAAAACGTATGATAAACCATCAGATTCCTATGAGAAAAGATGAGGAAACTTATGATAAACCATCAGATTCCTATGAGAAAAGATGAGAAAACCTATGGTATATAAACCATAAGATTCCTATGGGAAAAGATGAGAAAACCTATGATAAACCATCAGATTCCTATGAGAAAAGATGAGAAAACCTATGGTAAACCATCAGATTCCTATGAGAAAAGATGAGAAAATCTATCGTAAACCATCAGATTCCTATGAGAGAAGATAAGAAAACCTATGGTAAACCATCAGATTCCTATGAGAAAAGATGAGAAAATCTATGGTAAACCATCAGATTCCTATGCGGGAACGTGAGGAAACCACGCAAAAACCATCAGATTCCTATGGGAAAAGGTTAGACAACTAGTGGAAAACTATCAGGTTCCTATGGAGAAAAAGAAAACCCTTGGTAAACCATCAGGTTCCTATGGAGAAAGAATAGAAATTAAATGGTAAACCATCAGAATCCCATGAGGGAATGACAGAGAGTCAGTCACCTCTTCCCAACATGATGAGCCAACCCAAAAAACCTCTGAAACCAATGTGTTTGGCAATAGCGCGGCTTCGACCTAATGAAAGCACAGCTCTTGCAATGAAAGAGAGTCACCTCTTCCCAACATGATGAGCCAACCCACAAAAAACCTCTGAAACCAGTGTGTTTGGCAATAGTGCGGCTTCGACCTACTGAAAGCGCAGCTCTTGCAATGAAAGAGAGTCACCTCTTCCCAACATGATGAGCCAACCCACAAAAAAACCTCTGAAACCAGTGTGTTTGGCAATAGCGTGGCTTCGACCTAATGAAAGCACAGTTCTTGCAATGAAAGAGAGTCACCTCTTCCCAACATGATGAGCCAACCCACAAAAACCTCTGAAACCAGTGTGTTTGGCATTAGCGCGGCTTCGACCTAATGCAAGCACAGCACTTGCAATGAAAGAGAGTCACCTCTGCCCAGCATAATGAGCCAACCCAAAAAAAACCTCTGAAACCAGTGTGCTGGCAATAGTGCGGCTTCGACGTACGGAAAGCACAACTCTGGCAATGAAAGAAAGCCACCGTGAAGTAATTAGAGGCAATGTCCAGAAGCAGGCAAAGGTAGCTAACATAACAGCAAGACATTGGCAGAGAAAGACGCACAACACACAAGCATTCAAGCCAGCTGTGTGCCACCCCCGGGCTGCAAGACGCACCCTCCGGGAATCTAAGCCGCTGTGTGCCACCCCCGGGCTGCAAGACGCACCCTCCGGGAATC